TGTGACTGTGGCTGTAGGTTTTGCCATGTTATGTACAGTCACACCGACACTCACCCTCTCATAGACATACTCAATCTATGCAGTATCATAGTATTTTATATCAGAATAATTATTCTTACTTCACCGTAACCCTATGATCGAAAAAAAAAATAGTACATATATGTCACACCGCCCATTAAAGGGTTATTCAAATTTACATTATGAGCTCTTACAAGTGATTAACTAATTGATATTTCATATTATTGATTTAGCCGAAAGTAAAAGAAAAGCCTTAGTTATTCCATCCAATAATATTGATAAACATCGTATTAACTCCTTTGAAAATACTTTCTAAACTAGAAGTAGCCGCTGTTGAATTGGTCAGCATACTTGCTACAGATAGCTTAAATGTTTTTTTCTTGCCATTAGTATAAAATCAATTGTACGTGTTCGTCCGAATAAAACGGCCATAACTCAATGAAGAAAGTAAAGCACTCCTCAAAGTACTAGTCCAGCAAAAATATAAAAAAAAATCATACTTTGGCTAAGTCGCTAAATTTTGTCTTCAAAAATAGACATAAGAAATATCCTGCTTTTTCCATAGGCGTACATCCCTCGGTCCGTTTATTAAAATTCCGATAGCAATACCACATTAATTTCAAACACTCCCAATTATAATGAGCAAAAGTGACTTTGTTTAGGAAACATGTATAATTAATATAGAATACAATTTTAGTATTTACATTATAATAAACTTTAATCTGTATTTAACGAAGTATCGTATAGATCACAAGTTAATCAATATTTATGAAGTTTCTTTTACCAAAATTTTCTATACTCACATAAACTATGTGTATGTATCTGTTTAATGTCATTCTATGACAACTATATTCTTGTTATTTTCTAACATTTTCGATTGAATTTTTTCTTCTTCTCGGAGAATGGTTCGTTTACATCCTATTTCTTCTTATATGTATAAACTAAATAGGAAATCGATTTAAGTATCACTTAGATTGACATATACTTACACAATAAAATAGTTTATTTGATAGCCTTTCTCCGAACACGATACTTAAGGAAACAAAATATTTATATCATGTCTGATGGTGGTGGTGGTAGTATATGATAAATACTTTACTTATTTTACAAACGAGAATAAGATCAAATTTCAAATTAGATATCAACCATCAATCAAATTTTCTCATTTATCTCTATATGAATACATGTAATTATTAAGTTTTAATCTGTCAGATATTATTACATTTTTCTTCTTAGAAATTAATATTGAGTTTTCATTTCTAACTAAGTAATGCTATTGGCAATATTCGAAATGTTATTCAATCAGTTACATATATAAATAATCGAATATCATTATATTACTAAAAATCATCGCAGTTGAAATTTATTCATTATAACATTTCTAAAAAAACCTTTATTCATATTTTTAAAATACGATCGAAAATATTTTGATATAGATCCATTAAGATTCTATTTTCTTTTTCCTAAACTGATCTTGTTGTTTTATATGACAAAAACAAACACAAGAAACTAAACAAATATTAGTTTCGATTTCTATATACAATTCTCTCATCATATATATATAAATATATATATGTAAAAACACATTGAAAGAAGAAGAAAAAAACAGAAGGACATGTCAAAGTTCAGATAGAATACTTTCTACTCGATCATAAATTGAATTACCCCGATCGACAAGAGCATTCAATCGTTCAAGAACACTTTTAATCGATTCTTGCGTTGTTGATGATAATCTTACTGAATGTTGATCACCTTTTTGTTCATCATCAACTAATAAAACGGATGATTCATCAATAATTAATCGAGCATTTTCTTGTTGTTGATTAACAACATTTGATAAGGAACGTACAATATCATCTAGTTTTGAATGACGATGACCATTTGTTAATAAATGATTTCTTGTTAGAAGAGACTGATGTTGTTCATCATCATTATTATATTCATCTTTTGATATAAGAGCACGATCAAGTTCATGTAAAGCTAAAGAAAGAAAGAAATTTTTAAGTAGAAAATATCAAATTTAAATCTAACCTTTTTCTAAATGTGCACGTACAGAAAATAAATCAGATTTTCCATTCATTGTAGATGAAGGCATTGGACGTCGATGATTTGTCAATGGTAATATTCGTTTTCGTTGATGAGTTGAAGTAATTATTGGTGCATGTCGACTTTGTTGTTGATCATCATCATCATGCATTATATGATTTATTTCATTATTTTCATCACTTCCGTTTGTTATTGTTGGACTTGATGGTTGTTGTTGATCATTATCCGTACCTGTGTGATTATCTTCATCATCATTGTTGTTTATTTCATCATCATCATCCATTTCATGATCAATATTGAGTGAAGATATTTGTTCCGGTACTTGAGTAATACCACGTGTTGACGAACGAGTATAAGATCCATTAATACCATTTAAACGAGGATCTTTTGCTTTTTTCGCTGCACTAGAATTAGTTGAAAATCAATGTTTTCTTATATGCTCAAGTTTTAGTAGAAGAAAACAACAACAACAGAAAATCTACTTTATCATTTTTTCGAAAGGAAAACAGCATCAGTAATCACTATAAACATCTGATTATTTCAGAATTTAAATAAGCGTCACTCCACTCGGATGCATTACACCTTTGTATGCTTATAGAAAGTTCAAGTACGAGAAATAATTTCCTTCCGATCACCTATCATTTCCGTTGACATACACATAACGAAAGTAAAGTTTTCTTTATTTATAAAAATCAATATTTTTGATTAAGTAGTATATCTATTTATATTTACCGTTCACGATGAAAATAATCTGAAATACGTCGATAAGCTTTACGTTCGTCTAATAATTTATAAATTTTTTTTATTGTTAATGGTACATTTGATTCTCGTTTGATATATTCACCATACTTTTTATAATCATTACCTAAATAGATGAAATAGAATAAAGAAAATTGAATTATTTCAGACAATAAAAAAGTTAATTAACCATAAATTTCACGTAATTGAAATAATAATACTTTTTCATCATCTTGTATACGAATGACTTTAGTTGACATATTAGTATTTGATGTAGCGGCCATTCTAATTTTTGCACGTGTATTATGCGAGTAAGAGTTCGATGCAGTTGACGACGAAAGACAGACGATAGACGCACAAACGCCGTATGTGTGTGTGTGTGTGTGTGTGTGTGTGCTCGCTCGCTTGCGCTCCGTGGAAGAGGGGAAAGAGGGAAAGAAGAAAAATGAATGATGACGGACTGAATGAAACACGACGACGACAACCGACGAGTCGGCACTGCAGCGACGGCTCGTTCGCTCGTTGTCGGTTGGTGCTGTGCGTTTGTGTGTCTGTCTCTTTTTTCTTCATTACTCGGCAGCGTTAGCGACGATAACTGGCGCAAGTCGATCGTGTTCGTTTGTTCTCTGTCTATTACTCGCTTTTGGTTATAGTCGGCAAGAAACGAGTGTGTCTACGTGATGTGCGCAAACGCGCACATTTGCGAATAGTAGTAGTAGTAGTAGGTCTCCTTTGTATTGATCGAGTTAGGACAAGAGCGTGTCTATGTGAGGTCAACGAATGCATTCACGATAATAATAATATGAAAAAGAAGAGAGAGAGAGAGGAAAAAAAGGAAGAACACGCAGAAAGAATAAAAAATTACATAAATATGAAAACCTTACGAAAAAAGTATTTTCGAATATTCAGCTGATGCATATGTATGTATATATATATGTACTATTTCAGATGTTCATACATTCATTAAGTCGTTGTCTTAGAACTTCTAGTAACAGCTGTCTTTCAATAGAAATTAAACGAGCATTATCGAATGGTTCATTTGTTCGACAAGTAAGATAAACGAGTCTATCTAATTATTTTCCAATGAATTGATTTTATTCAGTTATTTGAACAGACTACATCAACTTATACATATATAATAGGTGATGCGAAAAGTCGAAATGCTTTGATTATTGATCCAGTTATTACTACTGTCGCACGAGATGTGCAAATTATCAAACAACTCGGTTTACATTTACGATATGCAAGTATGCATATGATTACTTAGTTGTATATTATTGTTCCTTTTCTTCTCAGTTAACACACATGTTCATGCTGATCATATTACTGGAAGTGGTCGCTTGAAAACATTAATACCTGAATGTCGAAGTGTTATAAGTAAATCTAGTGGTGCTAAAGCGGATATATATATTGAAAATGGTGATGAAATTGTCATAGGAGATAAAAATCAAGGTTTAATACTTGAATGTCGATCAACACCTGGACATACAAATGGTAGATATAATTTGTATAATTTCCTTAAAAAAAATTTTCTAACAAAAAAAGATCTTATAAATAGGTTGTATGAGTTTTGTTTGGCATAATGGTAGTAGTGTATTTACCGGTGATTGTCTTTTAATACGTGGTTGTGGACGAACTGATTTTCAGCAAGGTAGTGCAGATACATTATATACATCCATTCATCAACATATATTTACATTACCTGATCATTTTACTGTTTATCCTGGACATGATTATACCGGTAGATATCTTCTATGGAAATTATCAAATATTAAGAATTTTGTTTATTAGGTCAAACAACATCAACAGTTGGTGAAGAAAAACGTCATAATACTCGTTTAACAAAATCTCGTCAAGATTTTACTCAGTTTATGAAAGAACTTAAACTTAGTTATCCACTTCAAATAGGTAATCTTATTGAATAGTCTCTGATTAAATTTAATCTATTATTTTTAGATAAAGCTGTTCCTGCTAATATGATTTGTGGTGTATTACCAGAATCATAACATTTATTGATTCATTCCAAATTTTTCTTTCATATTTAAATATTGATATCTAAAATAAAATAAAAAGTATTTTTATGTATGAACTAAAGCTTTCAAAGAACTAGGAATACTATAGAGTATTTTAGAAATTAATAGAATTAGACGTTTGTATGCACGTTTTATTTGTCACTTCAATTCATTTCTAGTTTATAAGTTTTGTAAATAGAATAAAAATCAACAAAAGATAAAATAATAAAAATAAATATTTTTTCTATGAGGCAGCATTGGTAAGATTTTTTTCAGTATTAACTTTACCATTACGATAGCGATGTTCAATATAAATCTTTCGAGATGGATGTTTATCACCATCAGGTCGATTAATTGGTGTCCAAACAGGTTCACCAACAAAAAAACGTCGAGCACGAATATAATTTTGTTTGTCAGGTATAAATCGATGATATATACCTAAATAAGAATAATAATTCTAATAAAAAAACGAAAAGTAACATTAAATTACCAGCAGGTAAAATAATTAAATCTCCAGGAAAAACGTGAATTCTTATCCATTTATCATCACAATCTCGTACATCGAAAAAACCTGAACCTTCAAGTATAAGACGAATTTCATCATCAGAATGTAAGTGTTCAGTAAAGAATATTTTTAAATTTTCTTCATAATTTTCCATTGATGATTCAATTTTAATTTCATCTTCATATGTATATCTAGAAAGAAGACAAATAGTTTAATTTTAGAAATTTAATAAAAATATTTTACCCTCGATCATGTTTAAGTTTAGTTAATGATAAATTTTCATGTTCAACAAGAATTTGATCTGGATGAAAATACCATATTTCAACACCTGTACGAGCACATAATGTTGTAGTATCAATTTCTTCTAATAAATGTTCATCTTGTGAATGTTCTGTTCCATCATTCATATACCAACTTTGCACCTAAAATTAGTTATTTTTTATAATAGTTTTCATAATCAAATCAATCGTACCATGATAAGAATTTGACTAGTTTTTTTTTTAAAATCTAAAAAACTGAAATCAATTCGATTATTTATTCTACATTACGTATTGTATCTCAAACAGTATGTCTATAATTATAAAACAAAAATAATCGTCTGTTTTGTGCTTATAATGCAACAATCCGTTGTTTAATTGTTGATATTAGATACAAAAATATAATTTTATTGTTTTTTAATTAAATCTTCTGCTTCTGCAAAAAAAAGTGGAGTCATAAGGACGTTTCTATTACTTGAATAAATTTTTTATACATAGGACCAGATTGAAACAGATGGTGCGTACTCACAATGCGAATATAGTACTCTCATTTTATAAGAATAGATCTAATGCAAAATAAAATTCAACAAAACGAATAAGAAGGTTATATTTATGTATGTATTCATATTAACTTATGCTATTGAATAGACGATCGTTAAATAATACTCTGATGTTTATAATCAATAAATCTATTATTTCTTTTATTAACTAGATATTATAACTATAAAGAATTAATGTTAAACGATCAACTAGTAGTTGAATATATGATTATAAATGGTAGACGTATATTAATCTAAAATAGAGAAAAAAAGGATTTTATAATCTACTATGAAAACAATAAGATGATATTTAAAAATTATGCTTTTCTGATTAAAATTTTGTACATATACAACAAATAGAAATATGAAATCAGAAACTCGATATCATATTCACAAAATAACATTTATCATTATTTTCTCGGAGTAAATAACATATTTCGTATATCCAATAGAATAAATAGTATCTGACGCGTTATCTATTGGTAATTATAAATACAATAATGTATCATACTACTTACAAAATTCTGTTTTCCTGTTCTGTCATAACAATACATGGTTTTCTCGTATTAATATATCTTCGAATCCATCATCAACACATATACATCTGTTTATTGTAACCCTCATCCATTTTATAATCATAACTATTTCTCCTTTAATGTTCAATTCAATAATCTAAAGAATGTATTCATACAGTAATCTTATTTTATATGAACAAGAAAACAAAAATTTTAATTCGACTAGACACATATAAAAGAACAATAACAAAAAAAAAAAAGGAAATATTCGTATATTTTTAACTACTGAGATTCACCATAGTTTACGAAAAAAGCTCTAGGATGTTTTTATATCAACAGATGATAGGTTTTTTATATCTTTAAAAGCAAATGAAAGACATAATTGTCGATCTCGTAAATCCGACCAGCCACCATTGGGTTGTTTAAATATAGGTTTGCCTTCATATTTAAGATGTACAGAAAGTGAATTTGTTGGAAATAGATGTTTTCGATTAGTTTTAAAGAATAATTTTGTTTCTGTCCATCGACCAATATCTGATTCACTTGAACAAGTTTTTTTATGATGTGTACCACTAAAATATTTCAATTCAGAAAAGTTCAAATGAAAATCTTAATCTCTTATACCATGATCCAAGATGTATAACTCTTGTTGCACTTGACCACATTACACGAGGAAAATGAAAACGTTGTTGTGCTAAATAAACAAGTGACCAATCCCAATTATAATCATCAATAGTACAAAATTCTTCAGCATATTTCACAAGTAATGTCCATAATTGATGAGATATTGTCATACCAAGATTATATCTTGCATGCCAATATGCAATAGATACCTAAGAATATTTTATATTCGTATTGAAAATACATTTTTTTTATGAAGCTTACTTTAGAACCAAGTTTTGAAAATTGTTTACCTGTTTTTTCAAGATTTCCTAATGTATAGAATAAACATTCAGGACAGACACTAGACAAAGAAAAATAAAAGCTAATTTTTTTGAAGAAAATATATTTACTGTTCTTTTTCAGTTTCCATTTTCTTAAGAAATACAAGTGCATCAGGTGATAGATAAAAATCTTCTTCAAGTAATAATAATAAATGATCTGTACGATTTTGTAAAACTTCAATTGAATTATATACAAAATTGAGCTGAAATAAAATAAATTGATTTTAAATCTCTACGAGTAAACGTTCTTGAGTCAGGCGGAACGATTTTCGCTGGAAATGTCCTTCTCATGTAACATGTTTTTTTGACCCCTTTGTTCTTACTGGGATTTATTTCTGCTATGTGTATTTTTTGAATAATTCAACTGTTGTAAATGTAGTATCTTGGGGGTGATTGTGAGACATTATCTGTGACCCGCGTCCTTGAACTAAAGATCTATAAAGAAAACAATTTCGAGAAGATGTCCTTTCTCCATTACTCTTGATTCCCCCTGTGTACGTTTTATAGGAGTATTTTTATGGAAGAGCTTATTATCAAACTGCTCTCGATTGTTTGTATGAAAGTTCATATTTTCTTCATTAATAACTGATATAGAATAACCTAATACATATGAGAAACTATTCTGAATTTACTGACTATCATCTCCTATTCACTAATCGAAGATGAACTTAAGCTTTAGATTAGATATGTCAATCATCGACATACAAAAGACAGTAAATTTTTCTCTTCTATTCTATCATCAGAGGCTGTTAGCTATTGTACTACAAAATTCGAATTATCTATCGATTAACGCATAGTATAGATCATGCTTTTTTACTTACTTTCCACCACCAATGATGTTTAATTTGTACAATAGATACTTCTCGATAATGTCCATATCTATCAGGATATGGTGCATTTTTACACCGCTTCAGCAAAGCTCTGAAATATTCAAAGAAAAACAAATGAATTATTTTGATGAGAAGAATTAGAACAGATGTTAGTATTGATAGAAAAAACAAACAAAATGTTATATGATTATTTAACTTGCAAAAATAGACGAGCTTCGTATCATTCACTAATATGTATTTTTAGTATTGTGTTTGTTTCATACTCTTATCAAACATTACCTACCTTTCAGTCTTTATTTGTGAATTGCTGTAAAATTATTGAATGAAACAATGAATAAATCATTTTTTTATTTAACGTACTTTTGTTTAGGTATATCACGTGGACAATCATTTGGATCAAGGCCAGGAAATTCATTAGGATAAAGTTGTTGTGAAAATGGATAAAAAATTTGAATCACCTAAATTACATATAAAGAATCTAATATCTAATTAAAGAATTACGAATATGATTGATCTCTTGAGAATTACAAGTTTGTAACAAAAAATAAGTAGATGCTGAAAAAGTTACTTAATGTCATTTATAATTATACTACTGTTCAACTAGAGAATAACAATTATTTTAAGGAAGTTCTCATTTTTTAAATAATTAATAGGAAATTCGATTTTTATCTATCAATATCGATATATTTATATATTTAAAGCTAAATAAAAATTTTGTATTTTCTAGAATAAAAATCTAACATCATATGACGTCACTAATTTAATCTCTTAAGTCATTTTTGATTACAAAATAGCTTCTAATAATATTAGAAAAGAGTTTCTCTTATCATATAAATCAAAACTAATGGATCTTTTGATAATTAAATTTCCTCTATACATAAGCCGTTTGTATCTCAGTCGAATGACAGTCTAGGAAAATTTGTATTAAATAGAAGGCTGTATGTCGGTTAAAAGTAATATTTTAATTAGAAAGTAGATTTCTTAACTACAAAGAAGCTAGTTCGATATTGCTAGCCACATATTATCTTCTTGAGTTTTACATAAAAAAAGCACATCGATATATCTTTAAATACACTTACCGGTACAAATGTAATATTCATAATAAGTGCATTTATATTGGAATCAATAAAATCATGACTAAATATAATTAATGTTTGATTTATTGTTTCAATTTCTTGTAACATTTCAATAAATTTTTTTAAATATACAATACGTGTATGTACTTGTACAAGTAAAATATAACGTGTTGTACTTGATGAAAATAAATATTTATTATACATGAATTGTTCTTGATTTTTTCTTTTAACATATTGACGATAATATTCTATAGATGTTTGATTTATATTAAATAACAATGAATCTGAAGCTTCGAATTTATCTTCTATAGAAATTAAAGGTAGATGTGAAGATTTTTTATTTTTATCTTTAATATCAAATGGTAATGATGATAGTTTATCATCAAGAGCATGTTCCTGTAAATCATTATAAGATATAGTTGTTAATTTGACCATTGTTATAATAAAAAAACAAAGAATCATATAACGAAAAATAATATATCGATAACGAAATAACTGATACATGGTTGTTAAACCAGTACGGTAGTCTAATGTAGATAGCAAAGAGACATTCTAGATAAAAAAAGAGAAAAATAATTTCATTGCGTGTTGATCAAGGTATGAATCAATCCCAAGAGAAGTATATGTAAAGCTCTATTCAGTAGTATATTTAACATACTCTAATCATAGTAATGCATACCTATTATGAAATAATTGATCGAAGAACTAAATATGATCGACATACATGTTGATTATTAACGAATCATAGCGATAAAGAAGATAAATATTTTTACTGGTTGAATGATGACATATTAATGCAAATAAATATTAAGACGAATTTGTTTAAAAAGTTTTTATCAATTAATAAGTACTGTACGATAATTAACTTAACCGGAAACGATTTGTTGATCGATTTATTTGCCACTATCGTCTATAAAGAAAAAGAAGAAGAAAAAGAAATATATAGAGAACATGAATATAATCTTGTAAATTGATAAGAGCGAGAGAAAAAAAGAATGTAAAATATTTCGAGATATAACTTTTTCCGTATTGTTCTTCGTCAAACAAAAAGAACGACAAAAGACAAGAACACTTATGTCAAAACGAATACGAACACTCTTACGCTTTATTGATTTAGTATGTGTATGAAGATCTGTCGCAATCTATAGAATATAAGAGAAGAAAATTGTAAAATATGTAATATCTATAAGTAAATTTTATGCCAATCTGTTATAACTTTATAAACTGAATGTACTATTTTCATGTTGGTTATGAATAATTTCCTTTTTATGTTTCCTTTTGATATATTGCATTTGGGACAATAAAAATATAAGATCTTAAATAACATGCGATCATAAAAAGAATGAATGCGAAAGAATCACGTATTTTCATATAAAGAACAAGAAAATTAATCAGAAAATACATGATTACAATTTCCTTTATTAATCTTGTTTAAGAAACAAGTATTTCTTTTCCTTAGTAAATAGATTAAGATAGATGGATGGTACTATCTATTCTTTTTTTTCTCTTCTCTCTCTCATGAATCGACGATTCGTCAGAATTCATACATTAAACAAGAAGAAAGAAAGCAGAAGATCCTAGGGAGATGTCACTAGACAATGATACTATATACTTGTCCAATATCTAATAGAAATTTCTGAGAAAAAAATTGATTTTTTTATAAATCATATACTGTACTGAATAATTAATATATATCCCATCGGAATCATAATTTCATATTTCTTTTTAAATTATATATTGTATCTTATTATAAATTAACATCTTTTTTTCGATGAAATATGTATTCTACTGATAGAAAAGCTTTGATTACGATAGAAACTTGGGTTATTTGATAAATCAGTAATTTAATAAACATAGCGTCTTTAATGCTTTGATTATCTTTATAGATATCATCTTACTCCTTCGTTATAAATTATCATAATAGTTTGATTTTCAATACAATAATATTCAAGGACAAAATAACAAAATCAATTTTTCTATACAAAACAAATCAATAATAAAAAATTTGTAAATCACTGTGTGTACATTATTATTGACCTTCGATGATCATCAATACTAAATAAAATATTACATAATAATATACTTACTCTCGAGTAGAGATCAATAGTAATATATTATGCTTGATTAACTATAGTTGATATTCTTTTAATTATCTTTCTGATATCTTTTATAAATATTCTATTTTTAAATACGCACAGATTAAAAGTATAACCTTTAGTTATTTTATTTTTTATTCGATATCGATAATTTGTTTTACTGTAAACATACATCTGATCATCTCTCATTCTATTAATACGATACCTATATGACAAGCTGTCAGAAGCTTCTGTCAATACATATGTGGTGTGATATAATGTATATTTAGTATGCCTAAGATAGATTGTTTGTTTGTGTGACATCATATTCATCTGTGTGTTACTATATAAATTTTCTTTGATCGTATCATGAACAAGAAAAACTGCATGAAATTAGAGAACAATCTTATTTATTTGCTCTTTTTTTCTATTTTTCTTCTGTCATCTATTTTCTCTTCTCCTTACTGTACATTCTACCAATCATTATTGTCAAGTTATAAACAAATTATGTGTTACTATATTAATTTTCTATAGAAAAGAGGAAAGAATTTCTAATGGAAAGTCGACGTCTTACAATGTCAAATCCATCAGCCGTATTCTCCATCATTGCTCACGAAGCATTAGATCATATAACTACTGAAAGTGAACATGACGATGGAATAGGTCATGAAATCGGACGACAACATTCTCGACGACGAGTAAAAGTAAATTAATATATATTCTTAATTTCATATAGATTGACAGTTAACTATCTTCGATAATTCAGATACGTTTAGTATGAAGAAAAAAAAACTATCTGATCAGAGAAAAAAATAATATAGAACATTTATAATGTGCCTTGGAACAAAAAAAGGATGATGGGATGTCAGAGATAAGTATTGCTCCTAAGTAGACAAACATTTGTAGATTTTTGCTTGACTAGAGCATATGTCTCATCATAACATCTAGGTATATTCTTCTTTTTGACAGGCATGTGTTGTCTGTTCTTCTATATAAGAGCTAAGAAAATGTCAAGAAGTGATTTTGCACATATATTACAATGCGAATCGATGTAGCAATAAGTTGTCTGCCTTTGTAAAAGAATCAGACGACTCGTATTACTTTGCAAAAAAAAAAAAAGAATGACCTTCTTATCTCATCGTGTATTTGTATGAGTATGGTATAAAAAACAGTCATATACAAAATACCAATGTATTTTATTTGATCAGACACTAGATTCATATAATAGTAAACATAGAATACAAAGACACACATGTTGAATGATAACAAAAAAATACACACCGGAAATACCATCTGTTTTTAGTTACAGAAAAATAAAAGACTTAGAAATATATAGAAGAGCAAATGATGACATCGTTAGCAATAGCATTTGATTGTAACATGGATAGCAGTACGATTCAGCTTTCAAAGAAACGAGACAGTATCGTACCATTACGCGACAAGCAGGTAATTGTTATTATGGAATTCGTTTATTCCTATTTCTATGCCCACGTCGATCTTGTATATGTATATGTTTGTTAATTATCCGAGGAAAAATAGACGATAACAACGAAACGACCACCAATAGCGCTGATATGACTTATGCGTATTAACAAACGCTGTTAACAGTCGTTTTTTTCTCTTCTGAGTATTCCATCATACATACTTACAAACATACATACATACATATATATATTTTGTTGAAAAACAAGTGAGTGACGAATATTCGTTAATATGGAACATCAACAACAACAACATCAACAACAACACTCGGTTTCAAAACGATCATATAAAGTGATTTAAGACATAATAATAGAAAACATACATTATTAGGAAAAAAATATTTTTGTTATTTTTTGTTTTTTATTCTAGCGTGAATTTAATGCGTTACCAGAAAAAGTTTTACTTGCAATATTTTCGTATTTACCACATATTGAATTATTACGTTGTGCGCGTGTATGTCGTTTATGGCGTTCATTAAGTCAAAATTCAAAGTTATGGAAAACAGTTTTTCTTCGACCAGAATATCATGGTTTACATGTAAGACATCTTGATCAATTTCTTAATTTAATTGATCATAGATTTTCAACATCATTAAAATATATTGAATTACCAATGGAATTAATAACAGCAGATGTTCTACATGAATTAGCTAATAAATGTGCAAATTTAAAATATTTAACATTAGATTTTTCAACAGCAATGCAATTACATGATTTTAATGATCTTAATGCATTTCCATGCAATCTTAAAATGTTGTGCATTTGTTTATCTGAAGTTATTTTCCTTGAAGGTTTCATGAGACGTATATATGCATTTTTATCATCATTAGAAATCTTACAAATTATTGGTAAGAAATTAAGCATATTTCATATACAAAAAAAAATAGACGTCCTTTTTTTTTTATAAAATTATAGGTACGATTGAAAAATCGAATGAAGCTGAAGAGGAAGTGTATGAAACAATTAATATTAGTAAAATTAAAGCACAAACACCGAATCTTCGAGTAAGCTAATATTGATTATATTTTTTTATATATTGATCATGAATTTTTTTTTATAGGTTATTAATCTATATGGTATATTTTTTGTTGATGATAATCATATAGAAATAATAGCATCTGGTTGTATTCATCTTGAGTGTCTTGCATTAAATTATTGTACACGTGTTAAAGGATCCAGTTTTAAAACTTTATTACAACGTTGTAAAAAGTTACAATGTCTACTTCTTCAAAATACTGGTAGAGAAATAAAAAAAAACAAAAATGATTGTATGTAATTTTTTTGTTTATAATCAAATAGGTATTGAAGATAATGCAATGTTAACTGCTGAATGGGAAGCATCTGTTATTAATGAACTTGATATATCATCAACAGAATTAACTGAACGTTGTCTTTTAAATTTATTTACACGTATGCCAAAATTAAATTATTTAGCTGTACCAAATTGTGATGGTTTTACTGATCAGGTATATAAATTGACTTATGTAATATTTTTGTTTTTTCTTCATTTTTTTCTTTTCTTCATATTCAAGGTACTTGATCTATTGATTGATCAAGGAAAATTATCAAATTTACGAGCTATCGATATAAGTAATACTGTCAATCTAAATTATGAGGCTCTTTTTGGTTTACTAAAACTTCACGGTCGTCAACTACGTGGTTTATCATATGCTGGTAATTCAAAAATAACTGAACAATTCTGGATTAATGCAATAAAACATTTAAAAAATATTAGGTAATTTATCATTTTGATTAAAAAAAACACATCAATATCTAATGAAGTATTTGCTGATATTGATCCGATTTACGAGATACGCTTGAATTACGTTGAAAATAGTAAAGCATTAGATAATCAGAGTCAAGGATGAATGTACATTTTGTTGATATTTAACTTGATAATATTATTCCATTATCGATAACAATACAAATACAAATTATTCACTAGTAGTTTGAGAAAAACAACGGAGTATTTATGTTATATTTTGATAGAAACATGTGTATTGATACACATGAAAATACAAAGTCCACTGTTTTTTTTATTAGACGTAAAAATGAATGATTGGAGAAAATGTTTTTTTAATTAACGATATTATATATGATGAAGTCTAGAAAATTAGCTTTTAAATGCCGAAAAAATATTATTAAAATTGAATTATTTTGTTTTTAAGAATTTTGGTAATTGGTACTTCACATGGATGGTTTAAAAAGATAAATACACGTATTCATATAGATCAAATTTTAGAAGCATGTGCACAAGAATGTCAAAAACTTGAACGATTAGAAATACAGTGGGATGAAGAAACACTAAGATGGAATGAAAATAGTTCGAAATTTATTGATCATATACGGTATTATATTATATTATATTATTAATTGTATAATTTTTTTCGGTTTTTATTTAGAATTCGTTGTACAAAACTTCTATCATTAGTATTAGCTGATGGTGAATATTATGAACTTGTTCGATCAAATTTCGAAAGAGCCGATCGACAACGTGTTGTACGTACAACAACAAGCGATCAGACTAGTATCGTTAGTCTACTCAATTATTATAATGATTTACGTTTTAATTAATGTATGAACATATATATGTGTTTGTGGATATATTAACGTGTGTTTTTCACTTTTATTTTCTTCTTTCATGGTCAACCTATTTAATAAAAAATAACTCCTATAATAGGATATATTTGCCTTGTAAAATATTGATGATATGAGGGTATAGCCTTGATTGGTCAGGTGAAACTGATGGCCTAGAGAAAATTTGTTTTAAGTTTTACTTATTAGATTGTCAAATAACACATATGACTACTTTAAAGGACGGAAAAAAAACGAAAACGAATGAAGATTAATAAATTCGATTATTTTTTGCACAAGATTTAACTATTGTTTAAATTAAGTTTTTTAAAATAATTTACTAGAAAAATTTGATCATGATTGTTAGTTTATTATTCGAATATGAATTAGAATGATTAATGTGTTTGAAAAAGACTACATACGTGGCCTTTAATTTCATTAAAAACAAATGATTAATCAGTCTTATAGTAATATTCAAACTACGAGATAAACATAGGTATACTTGTATGTCTATTTACGTCATACAACTATAATTTACAATTATTGTATATACAAAGGTAGGCGCGTGTATTCTTTTTTTGGTGACATTTTTTCCTTATGTGTTGCTTTCTGATTCGACATCAGTGATGTTTACCTGTCGTATTACAAGGTAATAACAGTTGCCGCAAGCCGCAATTGGCGTGTTTTTGTGGTGTAAGTAATTACTGAAGGTTTGTGGTTGACTATACGTATTGTGTCTCTTACTCTCTCTCGTTTTATGACTGATTTTTTCGTTTTGCCAGTCATTGTTACGTACGCAAAAAAATGGCCATGATAAGCGATTTTACTAGTCGTTCGAGCGAAAATATATCATCATTGCTTTTCGTCTCTCTCTCTCTCTATCTCTCTGTCTCTCTCTCTTTTCTCCTATTTCATCTCTATCCATGCATGGTCGAGTGAATGTATATAAACAATGATCCACTAGCAGCTTTTCTTCATTCCTTGTTTTCTACAAGTAAGTACTACATTTACATTTGAAGTACATCAATTACAATGGCTAACTTTTCATATCAATCATCTAATGGTGGTTATGGTGGTGGTGTTGATGCTGCTTTCCAACAAGCTGACACTGACCGTGATGGCCGACTTAATATCAACGAATTTCGTCAATTTCTCGGTAAGTGAATTTTGTTGAATTGTTGTGTATAAATCTATTAATGATTTTGTTACTTCTTTTCAGGACAAAGCGTAAACAGTGCTGGCGGTGCTGGTGGATACAGTTCTGGTTCATCATTCGAATCAGCATCATATGGTAATGGTGCTGGTGCTGGTTACGGTGCTGGTGCTGGTGCTGGTTATGGTGCTAGCGCTGGTGCTGGATATGGTGCAGGTAGTTCAAGCTATGAATCATCATCAGTACAACAAAGCGGTTTTGGTGCTGGTGGTGCTGCTAGTGGTTATGAAGCTCAATTTGGTGCTGGTGGTGCTGCTGGAGGTGCTGCTGGAGGTGCAAGCCAATATGAATCATCACAATTCGCAAGCAGCGGATACGGTGGTGAAGCTGGATTCGCCGCCAATCAAGGTGGAGCATCCTACCAATCACAACAATCAAGCACTCAAGTACAACAATATGCTACTGATGCTCAAGGTCTCTTCCAAGATCCAAACCCACAAATAATTCGTCGTCCAGCTGCAGGTGGTGTACAAACATATACACAAAATATTCGAGTTCGCTTTCTTCAACCACCACCAATTCCACCACCAGGCGTAAGTAGTTTGTCTGATTTATTATGTCTTATATCATAAAATTTAATTGATCATTATTTTTTATAGCCACTCATCATCAAAGAAGTTCGCCCACCTCAACCACCCCCACCACCACCTCTTCGTATTCGTCAACAAGCTCCACCTCTTCCTCAACCACCCCCACTTGTTCTTCGTGAAAGACCACCACAAGTACCAGCTTCAGTTGCTTCACAAACTGTTATTCGTCGTTTGGCTGCTTTACCAGTCCCACCACGATCGGTTGTTATTGAACGTCTTCCACCCCTTCCACCACGACCACGTACGTAATTTTTTTCCTATTACTATTCTTATTGTATTAACTATTCATTTTAGGTGATGTCATCATCGAACGTTGGATCCCATATGGAGCTCAAGCTAAACGACGAACCATTGTTCAACGTGCCGCTGCTGCTCAACAATATCAACGACCACGCAATGTTATCATTCAATACGAACCAGTTCAAGTCCGTGTTGTTCGTCAATTCCAACGTCTTGGTGTTACACAAGCTAACCCACAAGCTTATGTTCAACAATATGGTGCTCAGCTTCTTGATGCCGGTACACTCCTTCAACAAGCTCGTTCTGCTGGTGTTGTTGAAGATATTGTATGTAGATCATTTTATTTTGCTTTCGTTGTTTAATTTATTATCTTATTTTTCTATAGTCACCACCTGCTGGAGCTGCTTCAGCCGCTGTTGGTTTTGGTGCTGCCTCTTATGGTCAAGAATCACAATTTGCTGCCTCATCAAGTCAAGAAGCTGGTTTTGGTGGTGCTGCTGGTTTTGCTGGTGGTGCTGCTGGTTTTGCTGGTGGTGCATCTGGTTTCGAAGCTGCTGGTGCTGGAGGATACAGTCAATCATCATCATTCGAATCAGCTCAATTTGGAGCAAATGGTGGTGGTGCTGCTGGTGGTTATGAAGCTCAATTTGGTGCTGGTGGTGCTCAAGGTGGTGCTGGTTTTGGTGCATCATCATCATCATTCGAATCATCAAGCTTCCAAGCTGGTGGTGGTGATGCAGGTTTTGGTGGTGGTGCTGCTGCTGGAGGTTTCGGAGCTTTTGGTGGAGCTGATGCTGCTTTCGCTGCTGCTGATCTCAACCGTGATGGTACCATCGATCAAAATGAATTCCGCCAATTTATTAGTAAGGCTTCATTTTATTAAATTTTATATATAGTTATTAAACTATATTCATCTATTATTTTTAGGTCAAAACTATGGTGCTGGTGGTGCTGGTGGTGCTGGTGGAGCTGCTGGTGGTTCATCATCATACGAATCATCATCATTCCAATCACAATCAGCTGGTTATTAAAAAAATTCAATACTCAATCAAAAACTAAATATCTAAAAGCTAGCTACATATTAAAATACTATCAATATGTTTTCGAAAAAATCTGGTCGATTTATTTATTTTCTTTACTAATACTGCTTCTATTTGATTTATTATAGATTATGTTTTTTTTCTTTGTTGCATTGTTTTAATTTCTTTTTGAAGTTTTAAGGTTATAATTTTATTGAAAATAATATAAAAGCGCGCGAAAAAAAAATATCCTTTTTTGTTATAACCATTAATAAAATAAATCATAGAAAAAATCAAAAGTCATTAGTTTAATAAGATAAAATCAAAACATGATATTCTATAAATCAAAGATTGAAGCAAGGGAAATAAAATATCGAATATAAGTTTTATCAAATGATGACATACAGATTTTTTCGTTCGATTCTATGACTGGAAAAAATATCTCCAATCATCATAACTAATGATAGTACTTTATCTTAGTTTGTTTATCAGGTCATGAAGAAAACTCAATCTTGTCATATCATTATACCTGGTAAACAAAAATAATATATCAAAATAAGCGTTTATATTATATTTTATTAAATAAATGCGGATTTAAATATCATATAAATATATACACATACAGATAATGTTTTTTTCAAACTTTTTCTGGTCCTAATCTGACAATTGGGCCTGTAGGTGCGTCGATAATATGTGCTAAATTTGCACCAATTAGATCATGAATATGATAATCAAAGCCTAATAAACAATTTTTTTTCATATCTCTCAATCGAAATTCATTCATAGGTATTTCTTTATATGTTCGTCTTGATAGCATTTGTAAAAGTGTTCGTCGACCTTTATCTAAACATGTGATAAATGATGATAAATTTGGTAATGAAAACCAATATTCATTGATTTGTTTTGGTAAAAGTAAACCTAATTGTATAAGTAAATGAATATCATTTGTATTCAATTTAAATTCATTTTCTAATGTATTTTTATCAATTGATAAACGTATATATTTAGGTAATAAATCTTGAATAAAACGTTGTTTTAAACGTGTTTTTTCTATTGATAATGATGATAGATTATTTTCACTAAGTTGTCGTTCAATTATTAAATGATAATCACTTGTAAACATTAACATAATACCATGATGAGAATGAAATAAACGTATTTGATTTTGATTAAACATTTCCTGTAATTCACAATCAATTAATGTACGATTATTTGATTTTAAAGAATATAATTGATGTTTAAATATTATTGGTGGTATATGAAGATAATTAATAAATGAATTTTTTGAGATATCAACAAAAAATGTCAAAGAATCAGATGTTAATGATGAAGAATTTTTTAGAGATTCATTATTATTTTTTAGACGTTTTGTTGAAATGGAATTTAAAGAAGAATAGGAACGTTTCATTTTTATCTAAAATAAAAATAAAATCTTATTCTAGTTTATAGATATATTGAAGTGTTGGGATGGTATATTTCTGCTAAGATTGTACAGCTTTCCACAGAATCTGCAAACTATGTTCTGTTATATCAATTTTCATTGTAGGAAACACTAATAATGTTTTAGTATTTAATATTGATAATTAAATAATATTGAAATACGAAAATCATGTACGATTATTTCATAGATGATGACTGTTAATTACACAATTGAACTGAATATGGCTTAAAATCATTTCATTTTTGTTGTTCTTGTATTGACAAGAGAATATTGTTACACAATTACATATGAGTGCATTGGCAGTTTAGTATAACCTTTCAATATTCAGTTATTTCTGTCATATATATACCGAATAAGAGAGAAACTTCTAGCATAAACTGAACTACAAAAGTAGTAACCAATAAAAATACCAAAGAATATTAGACTTATTTTCGAAAAATCTATATAGATGACGCTATTTTTCATTGATAACTGCACGAACGCACTGTACCATCGGTATTCATATATAATACTCAAATTCTTTCACATATTTTCGCTCTACATCATTTATGCAGTAAGAGTGTGTGACTGATTTCATTCCATCTCATGTAACGTCTGTATGAAAGATTATCTACGGCAGTGGCGTATTTAGGAGGCGATCGCCCCCACTTCCGAATTGGTTTTTGATTGTTTACATGAAAAATGAATGAAGAAATAGGTTCACACTACTTCAAATGGACTCAACAAATAGCTTTTAACCAAAATCGCCCATCCATACTCAAAAAAAAATCGTCCCCCTTTCCAAAATCCTAGATCCGCCACTGATGTACGAATTTGCTACCAAGTAATAAAAATATCATATTTTTAATGTATCGTCCTAAAATTAAGCCAATTAGTAAAAAATGGTCGTCTTTTGAAGCGAAAAAAATTGTATTGTTTCGTTTTTCTTATTTCTCCCAAAAGAGGCGAATTTGTAATCAATTAATTATTGCAAAATTAAATTATGATATGATTGATAAATATAAAGAATGAGAAAGAAAATGGTGTTTTATTTGACATAATGAATACTGACTTTACTTCGTCAAAAATACGAAAAGGTGAAAGAGCAGTGTCCTATAGTAATTATTTGTATCCATTGAAGCGTGAAAATCTTAATAGTTCATTCGTATGTGTTTTGTACTACTAAAGCATGTCCTTGTTCTATAACGGTGAAAATGAATACGATCTTGAAATGCAATGGTACACATCACAATCATGGTTCGAAACTAGAGGATGTGGGTAGCATTTTGTTATAGTTAAACACCCACACCCTCAATTTATACATGAAACTCTCATGTAAATCGATATTGGAATAATTATGACTGTCATTTTATAAGAGTTTTTAATAAGTTCAAAATAATTGCATTTCATGAGAAATTTTGAAGTATCTTTAAAAACAATTTATACATTGTTAAATATATTCATATTTTTTTATCATTTTAATTGATTTAAATTATTGCTTGATGAGTACTATGTATTAACAAAAATAGTTGTATGAGTTCTACAATTTCAATCATTGATATGTGATATGCGTAATCTCGTTCATCATGTTTTGCATTCAATTATCAGTAGCCTAAGATATAATAAGGGTCATTTATGGATTGTTTTCAAATAATATCGTAGACATCTCAAATTTTGCAAATCAGTTCAGTATATTTTTGAATAAATAATGCATTAACTTACTGGATGTACTATCTTATGCGTTCTTTAGTTTTATTATTTCTCTCAGGATATTATACAAAATCTTGATCGGAAAAAGTCAAGATGATTGATTTTGTAAAATATTTCAATATCGAATATAATTTCTCAACTAAATATCAATATATTGTTAGAAAAATAATTTGAATCTCAATAGAATAATCCTGTTGATGACGACATCTGTCGATCTGTATGGTTGAGAAATTAGCCAAACAATATGTCTAGACCCTATTATTATTTTTTTGGGAAGAAGGAATCAGTCATGTACACGTAGGCAACCAACTCGCCTTTTGTTCTGCTATTGGCGATAATTCATATACATATTTCCACTATTTTTACAAAGAAATTGTGGTTTTGTCACGTTGGTAGTATTCGTGATCGAATAGAAATTCAATAATAACTTCCCTTTATGCTAATATTTATTTATTTGCCTATTTGGCGTGTTTTTTTAGATACACACCTCTTTGGTTTTTATTCTTAAACGAGTCAAATAATGTCTAAGCATAAATTGACAATCATTAATAAAACAATCTAAATGAATAATAAGATGAATGTTCGAATGATGACATCCAAAGATTCATTGATTTTTGAAGGCTGTCAAATAGTTTTTCTATGTTTTGTATGGTATGGTACGTCAAAAACAAAAATCGATATATCTCTTTATTTCTATCATAATTCATTATTATTTTTTGTCTGATTAGGTGTATCAGCAGCAGGGAATGTTATTGTTAAAGAATTACTCAATGATTTTCCGTTTCCGTTGACCGTTACACTTGTCCAACTTTTCAGTGTGTGGATTTTAAGTATTCCACTTCTTCAGTATGTATATCTATATATTTACAGATGTATATATATATTCAACATAATATTTTTGTAGTTTTTGGAAAGTTCCTGCACCTGAATATCTATATCAAAATCGAATTTATTATTTAAAAGTGATTATACCATTAGCCATAGGCAAATTTCTTGCACAATTATCATCTCATGTTAGTCTTTGGAAAGTACCTGTTTCTTATGCTCATACAGTCAAAGCAACAATGCCTTTATTCACTGTGTAAGTTTTGTTTGTTAAAATATTCGATTAAACATAAATTCAAATATAAGATTAATTGATTAATCATGCTAAGAAAGTATTTTATTCACATGAATTATGATCTAGACAGTACACGAGGGAATAGGTAACTTGAAGGAATTAAAATTTGGAAATTTTAGATTCATAAATTATCGTCATTATTATCTGCTAAAGATTGAAGTATTATAAAATGAAGAGTCAGTCTTGTTTTTATTCGATAATATAGAAATGTATACTACTAAATGAGCTGGTGCTATAGGAGCTTATTATAATTTGATTAATATTTGAATATGTTTATTTTATTTTATAGAATTTTGTCTCGTTTAATATTACGCGAAAAACAATCCTTATCTGTTTATTTTTCACTTCTCCCAATTATTATTGGTGTCATCATAGCAACAGTTACGGAAATCTCTTTCAATATGGTTGGTCTTATTAGTGCTCTACTCTCAACATTTGGATTTTCATTACAAAATATTTATTCAAAAAAAGTAGATTTTGTTTTTCTCTTTTTTTCATTGCTATCATTTTTGTTTATAGTCTTTAAAAGACATATCAATTCATCATTTTGCATTACTTGCTATATTAGCTAAATTATCCTGGTGTTTATTTGTACCTTTTTGGTTTTTTTACGATGGAATTGATATATATTATAATACGAAATACGTGAGTACGTGATAAGAAAAAAACTAAAAGAAATATGTGTTTTTTTCTTTTTTTTTTATATTCTAGCATTCGTATGGTCCAGCAAAAAAAATATTTTTTTATTTATTTATTGATGGTCTTCTAAATTTTCTACATAATGTTGTAGCATTTACAATGATTTCACTTGTATCACCGTTATCATATAGTATTGCAAATAGTACAAAACGAATTGTCGTTATTTGTATTTCATTATTAATATTAAGAAATCCAGTAACAAACACAAATGTTATTGGCATGAGTTTAGCTTTATTTGGTGTTTTTTATTACAATAAAGTATGTTAATTTACTACTTCATTCTTACAAAGAATGAGAACAAAACTAATGAGAAACGATATTGACATAGTAAATTCTCTTCGATGAATGTTATCAGTTAAACACAAATCTTTAAATCGAAAATTCTCAATCTAATAGATTATAGTCCTAAATAAAACTCAAGTATTACTTGATTATCTCAATTGACATGACTTATTGTCTAGTATCTTACCTTATACTTTCAATTAGGAATATGCCAAGATTTCTGTCATACTCAATCATCAATATGTCATTCATAGATACTATTCAACTGATAATTGTCATATGAGCCCTGAAGGGATTCGTGTCATTATATTTTTTTTTTGCTCGTGATTATATGACTATTTTATTGAATTTGTAGACTATTGCAGGATATTACGAAACAAATTGAAATATACAATTTCCGCCTGAGAATTTTCTCAATCAGAGATCTAATGATGTCTCATAAAATCTAACTCTAATCAATGATTTCCCTTTGAGATATTGAATACTTAAGAAAATCAAATAATCCTAGATCGCTATTAATAAAAAATGAATTTAATATCATACTTTTTCTTTCAGGCTAAATATGATCAACGTCGTGCTCAACAGAAAGAACATATTATTCCTTTAGTTCGTAGTGAACCCAGTCTAAATACATTAAATCTTGGTACTATTAAATTTACTCATCCGGATACTGATTTAATATCTCGACATCATCCATCATATCATACATCTCGGCCATTTTACAACGGTTCTATACCCAACTATGCCAGTAAAACATATAAAAATATTTAATTTTTCAAGACTTTATTTTTTCTTGTTTTGGTGTTTTTTTGTTTTTGTTATTTCCTAATATCATCATGATTATTCTTTCTAATTATTAAATTTATTTTATTCTTAAAAGAGCAAACTAGGAAGATACAAGGCTTATTTAACCTTTTGAAAAGAAAAAAAAGATGCAATAGATCAACATAAGAAATCAACAAAGCAATAATGCGGCCAAAAAAAAAAAGAGCGAGTAAATAATAATAATAATAGTAATAATAATAAATGATTTAAGAAAAAGAATATCTGTAACGCAACAAAAATTTCATGATACAAAAGGAATGACTGACTGTCTTTTGTTTCTATGTAAATGTTAAGATATTTTCAGAATAAAAAAAACAAACAAATGTGTATATCTTAATTATTCGGATTGACTAGTTATGGAATGGAATAGACACACACACATGATTCGATTGTCATTTACGTTTCGAATAAATATTTTGCTATATGTACATAATCATATGACTAGAGAGATAAAATGCACTGTGTGTCGAAATATTTTAATATGGTTTAGCTAAATCTTTTGGTCGTTTTAATTGAACTTTTAAACGTTTCATACCAATTTGAAATCCATTCATCGATTGTATAGCTTGAAAGAAATTAAATTAAAATATTTTAGTTTAGAAGGAAACAAAATTTACCTTGTTGAGCACATTGAGGATTATCATAGGAAACAAAACCTACAAAAATAAATTTGAATTATTAAACATATTCTTTAATGAGACAAGAGAAAAGAAAAGAGTACACGTGCAAGAAGGAGAGAGAGAAAAAAAAGAGAACTGTATTGGATTGTCACATCACAACATCAATATGTATTAAAATAAAAAGAATTTAAAAATGATGAACAATCTTGATGCGGCGATCCAGCACATAGTTCACATCTTTTTTTTTTCAACTCTTTTTTTGCGTCTACTCTTTATATTTTCTCTCTGTCTCAACAAAATATATATATATGGATTTTTTTATATGTACCAAAACATTTGGATTGATTAGTAGCTCGATCAACATAAACTTTAGCCGATATAACATTGCCAAATGGCATAAACATGGATGCAAGTTCGGAATCGCCGAATTCTTGTGGTAAATGGTAGATGAAAAGATTGCAACCGTCTGGACCAAAGAACTGCGGTAAAGCTATGGAGATCGAAATCGATTATTAAGATTAATTCGTGAAAAAAATTATAATATTTTTCGCTAACGGTATCAAAAAGAAATGATTTAATTGGGGGGCTTTTTTTTCTCACCTTCTTTATTCGGAGATGCTAATGCGCCTGGTATAAGTGTTGTAGTTGGTAAATGTGAATAAATAGTCGTTGGAGCATAGATAGGATACTGAGCTTGTAATGTTGCATAAGCTGTACCAGGTTGTAATTGAAGACCCGTAGCAGAATCAATAGTTGGACCAACCATAGCTAAAATAATATTTTAATTGATCATTTACAATATCGAATCGAAGAAATTTGATTTTTAATCTTATCAAAATTTCTTTAACCTATACTTTTGTGTTTGATTTTTTTGATCTCAGAAAATGAGACATAGAAGACTTTCTTTTCATTTCGATGTTTACTTACCCTGGTATTGATGTTGAACTAATAATAACAATGAAAATAAACATGTTTAGATTATTTATTCCTCAATATTAATACGAGCCTCGATCAGATCCGATCGATTCAAAAAATTTTGTTCTAAATGACCGTACAATTCTAACAACATAAGACTAGTAAACATGTCAAGCATGATTTTATCTCAGATACTCATAAACTATCGATAAAATTTCATCCTAATATATTATTTATTTTTAAATAATTCTCTCGAATTTCTGGTGAAATTTAACGCTTAGTATAACAGAAAAGATTATACTTTCTTGAAATCATGAATTCTCATTTGATTTGTAGTCTATATAGCTCGAAATATTTCTAATGATAGACTTAGATTTATTATGCATTCTAATCTATAATTATAATTATACTAGTCTATCACTTGATGAATGTCATTTTATTGTTGTTCAAGTACACTTACTGTTATATTGCATGCCTGATGAAAATAAATCAGTTTGTTGACCATTTGGACCAGATACTGTTTGATAAATAGTGGGTGGACCATTATTAACAGGAGATGCATTAACTAATGAACAATTCGGAAAATCCATATTGTCACAATCACCTAAGACAACAAAAAAAAAGTATTTAATTTATTTTTGAAATTATTCTATGTATAATTTACCTGTTGATGGTGTCATTGTTCCATTACTCATTGATTGACCAGATGTAGTTAAAACTGGTATAGTTGTATACGTTGGATGACTACCGGTTGATGATGCTAATAAAGTTTGTTGTTGTAATTGTGTATATCCTTGATAATTTAAATTTGCAGCTATTTGTTGAAGTACTAAGGGATTTGATAAAAGTCCCAATGGTCCAGCTAATTGTTGCATACGTCTTAATTGTCGTTCTTTTTCTGTATCAGCAAATTTAACAACAATTGATGATGATGCACCTGGAAATGTTTGACTACCATGAATATTTTGTATAGCTTGTTGTGCTTCATTATGTGTAGCATATTTAACAAATGCACAACCTTTACTATCACCACTAGGTCCACGTAAAATTGTACATTCTTCTATAGTACCATGAGGTTCAAATATAGCTCGAACATTTTCTTCTGTCATTTGTTTATTTAACATTCCAACAAATAATTTGCGATCTTCTGTTTAAAGATAAAAGAGAAAGAAAAAAAAACTCTATATTAATAGACTTTTAAATTACAATAGTCAACATCCATAAAACATCTGTCATCTGTCCACATACACACACACACACATACACATACATTATCCGTTCAACCGGATATATTGTTTCTGCCTGGCAGGCAGTCTAGTTTATTAATCATACATTGTGACATATGACATATTATTCCCACAACACAGTAGTAGGTCTATCCCCATTAAAAAAAGAATTTCGTTTTAAATTTTATTTCTCACCTAAATTTCGAACTCGACTAATTGATGTTGAATAATGTGATTGAATTTGGTTAGATGCTGCGACCATCATTTATGTAGAGTATGGAATTGTTAGAGAATACTGATGAAGATGTAAAAAGAAATTTTCTTTTTCTCTCTTCTTCGCTTGCAAATCCCAAACGTCTACTTCTCTTCTTTTTGTCGACCGGAAAAAGTAGTCACTCTTTTTTTCTTCTTCTTTTGCTTCTTCTTTTTTTTTTTTTTTTTTCTTCTTTTCTCTTTCTCAACTACCTAGCTAGCTATCCGACGTTCGCTCCGTTCTATAGATTGGGTCAAGTTTCTTTTTTCCCAGCAACGAACGTCGACGATAGAAAATCTTATTAAGCTCTTTTCTTTTTTTTGTTGTCTATCAGGAAAAAAATAGAGAATGTAGCTACTCGCTCACACTCTTCTACCGATTGGACAATTTGTTTTTATTCTTCTATGCTCGTCTCTTTTTTTTATGAGCGCGCCTTGCTATTCTTTTTTTTTGCTATAGTGAAGGAAAAAAAAAGAAGAATTTTCCTTCGTTTTACAGTAGAATCAACCTGATATGTATGTGTGTGTATGTGGTAGAGAAAAAAATTAGTTAAAAAGAGATAATCATTATCAGAAAAAAATGCTGATGACGTTTTTTTTTTACAACGATGAGGCTGAGCACATAAAAACCAGCACGATGACGATGACGACGATTTGACATTACACCATTAAATTAAAGAAATAGAATAGAAAAACGTGTTCAGCAACAACACAGGCACCAAAGAACTACCATTGATAAATAACAACAAAATATATAATATGATGAACTCACATTAATTTTTTGTTGCTTTTGTCGTTAGAATCGTATAAACAGGTGCTAATCAAAGAAGTTTATCATGATGGGAAAAAAAAGAAGAAGAAGAAGCGGAAGAGTCTATAGTTTCCTCATTGTTTTTCAGTATTGTCAAAGCAAAAATTTCAAATAAACTTCAATTGATGCCGACTCATTTCCGTCAATTTTTTCAACAACACGAGATTGTTAATTTCCTTTACTATCAAATTCACTAGTTAGGTGTGCGTGTGTATGTGGTATATTAATTTGATATTCTTATTCAATGATATCAACCAATAGATAAACGATCCGTTAGGATAAATAAGCCAATAAAAAAAATATATGTATATATATATTACCTGTTCGCGATTCGCTATCTGCTGGTTTGACTTGAATAGGACGACTCATCTAAAACAAAACAAATGAATATACAAAATGATTCTTGACATTTTTATCCTTATACTATATTTCTAATCTTTTAGATTTTTTTTTCTTTTTCTTCTTCTATATATAATTAGTGACTAAAATAAGACGACTAACCAGCACTTCCGTTTTAACCCCGAAGAAGAGTATTCAACTGAACTCAGAAATTAATTGCTTAGCACGCAATCCTATGATACGTATATGCATCGATGATTTTTTTTCCTCTCTACATCTCGATCCATCATCGTCTTGCCAGAAAAGCAGTATATGTTCGATGTAACTCGCCAGAGGCGATTTCCACTTCTACATGCATCTGACATTTGTCATACAATACGAAATGTTTGCTGCCTATGTTCGACCATTTGCATATCTTTTCTCTTACTTGAACAACGGTAATTGCACACTCGCGACGGTTAAGTTCAAAGTTCTAATGAAACGGAAAATTGACACACGTGTCGAGATAGCCTACTAACTCTATATATACATATATAAAGAGATATATATTTTAGTAATGACAATTATTCAAACCGGGCGTGTATAATGAATGAGGGAAAAAAAAGATAATATACATTGTAATAGTCAACTTACGAGTGTAGTTGAAGATTCCGAAGAAGTGGAAGGAGACGTATCAGTGCTGTTGTCACGATATTTTCTTTTCATTGCGCGTTTACACCGCGCTTTCCAACTGGCGTAGGCTAGTCGGAGTTAAAATGCATGCTTAAAACACATACATACATACATACATCCAACAAGAATAGATTGATTCAATAGTTACTCTTTTCCTCTTGCACTTTCTATAAACTGGAAATAATCTTCCGAACAAAAAAAAAGAAAAAGAGGCGATGCGAAGAAAAAAAGAAGAAATGAGTTAATGGAGAAAAAAAAAAGAAATATATGTCTGTCGCGTGCTATTCTAAAAAGAAAAAGCGTGTCCATTCTGTAACTCGGAAACAACATCATGCACTCATTAGATTTGAGTGAGAAAGAAATTGAACACACACACACACAGAAAGAAAAGCAAAATATGAGCAGACGTTAAATATAAGTTAGTAACATGTTCATTGACAATCTAGAAATCCCTCAGGTATATAAAAGACATTGACTAACTGAATTTGACACAGAACAAAAAAAAAACTCAAACGATATATATATATATAAATGAAGTAATCAGATAAGATGATAAATACTGATTAAAGTCTGTTCAAATTTTTTTTAATCGAATAATTAAACAAGTGTGGTACTTAATGTTACATAGGTTTCTTTCAATTCTATTCTTATCATTAGCTTTCGAATTAAACGATGAAACCTATAACAAAACAATTAACAGATGTCCTATTGTCTGTATACTTGATAGTAGAACAATAGATTGAATTTTTCTATCTTTGGTAATATAGAAATTAGTTTTTTAATTAAATTCCATCTATGAATGGCTTAGTTTCACTGATCATTAACTTTACCAATACAATACAATACACACTGAAAAGATTTGAGCTAAATCATACTTCTAATGACATTCATTTTTTTTCCATCCAAATCTAACAGTTTCTTTGTTTTTCGTTAATCTCGGTATTGATCTAATAATAAGGGAATGAGATATTTCGCATCAACTTTTCATTACGATTTACTGTAGCAGATGTTCGTTCCGATCTCCCGACATAAGGAAAAAAGACAGAGTGTTCGGAATGACAAAATCAATAAAAAAACAGGGTGGTCATAATGAAAGCTGTTTAGGACAAAAATCATTTCCGAGCACCCAGTCATATGTCCGATAGTTCGGAATACCTAGTACGAAATGTCTTTGTCCCACTCTAAATATCAATAATAGAAAAAGAAGTGAGGGTAATGTCTTTTTCTCTGATATGGTACAAGACAAAACCGATAATTTCTATAAAACATTAGAAAATTGTCTTACTTTTTTGTCAAAATTTCATTTTATACAATATTGAAGACAAAAAAACGTCCTCCTACCTCCTTTTTTGGTTAGTGAAAAAAAGCTCCGATCTGTAGCTGTTTGCGTTCTCGAGTTATTCAAAAAAAAAACTGTGGCGCATATTCTATTCTGAAATGGGCAATATGTCGATGACGGGAATGTCAATATTAGCGTTCATACTACATTATTTTCTAGGTCGATCATCCTTCAACTCATGACTATATTAAGTTCGTATTATTTAACATCAATACAAAGGTTGTAAATTGCTAGATAGGAATATATTATGGTAATAAATATTATTATTTTATTTATGATTGTTTTTCATATGAGAAAAAATCTTATACTAATTCTTATGGATGTGATCTTATTAAGATATTTTACGAATATATAAATAAAATGACAATAATTTTCTAGCTATTCTTATAAGTACATATATTTTTTTCGATTATTCTATTTAAGGATCCCTTTAATTCTAAATATTGACATGTTATTATTGAACAAAAAAAACTATGTATATAAATTTTCTTAATACTATAAATATGATTATCGAATAAAACATTAGCGACATCTATTATACTTACACCAGGCAATGTACGTCGTTCATGTAGTGCTTGTTGAGCTTTGAGTGCCGAATCTCGATGACAATATGTTAGAAAAGCACATCCTAAAGAAAAATAAGATTTGATAATCAACTTCATACTAATATTTTCAACGATAGATTTGTCTCAATTAAATTTCTTACCATTAGATACGTCGACCAACATGATTAAATTTTTTTAAAAGAATGAGATATGTAATTCAAGTGTGTTCTATTCAAATGAGTGACTATATTCAAAAAAATTGACCATCTGCCAACGAAACAGGAAAGCAGACGAAAAAGAGAAAAGAACGTTTGTTCAACATTATCGACAGGTTATATACAGGAAGAAAAATGATTATTAATATCGTATATTTGCTTCTGCCCTATCCTATGTCGTCGACCACTGTGAGAAGAGAAACATTGGCATTATATTTTTTCTAGCCAATATCCGAAAGAATAAATATATTTGACAAGTCATCAAATATTTGTTACACCCAGACAGGTGGTCACTAACACGCGTCCCGACATATCAAAAACAATAATATTATCTCAAATCATTCATTTCTTATATAGTAACTGTGAATAAAACAACAAAGAATCGAAATAAATTGCCGCTCAATATCGATTATTTCTTTTTTTTTTCTTGTAAAATAACTTACCACGATGCATGCCTGTAAAACGATCTTTTAATACAGTTAACTCATAGATTTGTCCAAATTCTTCAAATATAGGTCGTAGATCATGTTCTTCTAAATGTCGTGGTATTTGTCCAACAAATAATTTAACTGTATCCATATCTTTTAGATCTGATGATGGTGATGTTGAACCATGCGACATATATGTTGTTGGCGAAGCGATCGGTGACATATAAGAAGAACTTACTGGTTGTATAGGTGTTAATTGTGATGATATATGATTATGTTGAGATTTTCTATTGTGTTTTAGTGAAGATGATGATGATGAAGAAGAAGAAGAAGGAAGAATAGGAGGTGCTGATGTTGGATATACAGTTGCATATTGCATAGATGATGTTGTTTGAATAGGAGTAAAATATGTATGTGATGGTGGTAAGGATGGTTGATGACTGTACTGCATCGGTAATAATGATCTGGAAGAATGAGTAAGCACAATTCTATCCAAAAAAAAAAAAGAAAAAAGGCGTAGAAAAACAGATCGTTTAATGAGAACTATGACTGTAGTATTGACACACACACTTGCTACAATGCATTCCAAAAATATATAGTAACAGAGAAAAAGAGACTATGAAAGGGTAGCAAAGAAGCAGAAGAAAAATCTCCTTTTTCTTTTTTCTCCCAATGTCCCTCATCGATATCTATACTTGCATTTTTTAATACGATAGGCAGAAAAGGCAAAAAAGCTACTATGATTAGTGAATGAGAGAGAGAGAGAGAGCGAGCGAGGGAGAGAGAGGAAAAAAGGGAAAATCATCATTGCATTGTCGACCACTATAGTAAGAATGAACAACTAGGAGAAAAAAAAGAATTAATTTATATGTAAAACCAAAAAAAAAAAAGAAAAAAAATGAGAAGAAAAATGTTTGTAGCTCACGACATCAATATATTGACATTAGTCGCTGTCGTCATTGCTATAAACTAAAACATAGTAAAAGATCGATGCGATAATCATCTTCATGAACGCGTGTGAATAATGATGTCTTTTCCCAGTCTACTCTCTAACAGAATTGTTGATGAATGATGAGTTCTAGTAACCATCATTTCACTATCTAAACCCAATAACTGATCACAAACGGAAGACATTTTTCTTGTTATGGGCTCGTGCATGCGTGCATTATAACAATTAGGAAATTAAATTCGATCAGCAAGCGGTCAAAATTTGTCCGTCATGGGGTTTTTCGCTCTCGTGTTTTATCTTCAATATAATTATCAAAAGAGAGAAAAAAGGAAAAACATGAAAAGAGAACATATATATATAACTAGTTCAATCAAGCAAATAAACTAACTGAATTGGTAGTCTTTTTTCTTACCTTTCTCTTTTTCTTTCTTTGTTTTCATAGTTAGATAAACATTTCTAGGTGATTTGTATACTCAAAGAAAACTATACCTGACTGCTGAGAAAAATGACATGAGATCAATATGGATAGCTTTCTTTTTTTTCAATTTAAATACTAACATCGATTCTTTTTTTTTCTTGTGTTATTTACTCTTACTGTTTATTTAACTGACTACAAGCAAGCACCTGTGCCTGTTTTCATTTTCTCGTGCATCTTAAAACTATTGTTACAAATTTCTTTTTTCGATCGAACTTATTAAATAAGCTATATATAAAATTGATTTTGTGCCGCTACAACGCTCATCATGTAGACAAATTTAATTAGGGAAATTTTTTGAAATAACAGAAGAGAATAGAATGAATACATTTATTTCTTCTTTTATATGACAGATGTCTAGATATCTTTTCTCATTATTTCAACGACCGATTTATAATTTGTTCAATGCTGATGATCAATAAACAGATGGAACGAAGAAATAATGATCGAGTTTGAATATAAAAAACTGTGATGTATTTCTGCTTTGTCATTGGTAAACATATCGATACCGGAAGACTGAACTATGATCAAAAAAAGAAGAAGAAGAGAGAGATTTCTCTTCTTTTTTCCTCTTATATAAGAAAATGGAATCTCTAAATAATCAAATTTTATTCAAGCAGAATAATTATTCATTCTTAATTAATGTAAATCTACTACAACTATTAACTCAGTTGTCAAATGTTTTTTTTTATATTATATTCTATTAGAGAAAAGAAAAAGGAAATCTTAAATTATACAAAAAGACATTTTTCTCGATGTTTTCCGTTTCTTTCTTTTCTTTTCTTTTCTTTTCTTTTCTTTTTCCTTTTTTTTGTTCTATTATAGATGAGAACAAATTAATGCAACATAGTCTCTAAGATGTTTGTAATTCAAATCATTTCTTGTCTGAGAGAATATAAGAAAATTACCATCGCAAAATTTATGTCACGCAATGCAAGAACTAAGACTATTCCCAAACATCATATCGTTTAATCGATAAAGTATATCATTAAGAGGTTAACATATGAAATTAATTTTTAATAAGTAAATGATTATTATTTATTCAATAATAATAATTAATCAAATTGATATAAAGATTGCTATATATATCATTAATTTAGATATAATCGAAGTTTTTGTCTTAGATATTGACAATGAGAATTTTTATGACACTTTTCATTTTTCAATTTCCTCTGTAGAAATCCACTTAATAATAACATCTAAATCTCGATGTCAATAGGCTATAAATCGACGATGTTAATCTATTCATAGATTCAGTTAACGGTAGCGAAGAAAAATTTAAGACATCTCATGTATTTTGTTAATAGCAAATAGTAATACTTGGATATGCTGAATTTTTTGAACATATTACTATATATTTCCGACTTGACAATGAATAATTCGAATCAGTACTTATTGATGCAAAACTGCAAGTAAATATTTTCTTCATCTTCTAAATGAAATAAAAAAAATCTTGTTTTCTCAATCGATTTTAATGATGTTTGTCTTAGATAATGCATTTTATCAGACTAAAAGCTTTCAATCAGTTGAATAATAAATTAATTATTATCATCGACTAAATCTTATTTAATGATTCATCATTGAACTAATAACGATCGAAGATTAAGAAATAGTATGTATGTATACACTAGTTTATAGAACGATTTCAGATAAATCGAATTATACAACAAAGTCATTCGTATAGTGAAGGAATTGAACATTGGACGCAACAACAGTTATAAATATCTATTTCGAAACAATCTTTGAAAGATAAATACTCATTACATTTTTGACAAAGTTTTTCTTTTTGGTCAAAAAAGTGAGCTCGAAATTTCGAGTTTACGAATGTCTAGTTTTCAACGAAAGTCTCAGCTCAGAACTTGAACCATCTATTTCTGATTGCTCATAAAAATACTCTTGGTTACTCTGAATCGACCGAAGTTATTCAAGAAAAATACATGGAGTTAAATGTTGGAATTTGTTGAGATACCACGAAGTCGTAAACTCTAAATTTCGAGCTCACTTTTTCTGACCTTTCTTTTTATCTGGTATGCTCTATCAATGACCATGCTATCAACTATAACAATTTCGAAATGAATTTTCAGAATTTCTTTTTATACACTTAATCAGTTATCGAACGAATTCGATTTATGCAACTAAAATATGAATAAGTAACAATGACTTGATAAAGTCTTATAGAATCTTGAAACAGCATGACTTCCGGTACTTTTAAAGTGATTCTAAGTAGTAAGGTGAGGATACTATTAGGACTCTTTAGTCATAGAGAGATGTATGAGCATTGTGTCGCCAACATCTTCATACTGAGTATGTCTCTAGAAAGTTTCATTTAGCACCGTTTTTCTTTTTAATTAAAAAAATAATTTATTAGAATAACAGTGAAAACTACAAAGCGACATATGCGTGTTATTTTTGTTGATGTAAAAGTAATCTTGGTGTCTACAAAAAGATAAACATCCAAAGTTTGATTAAAAGATTACGATGAAGTACTACTTGGAGATGCGCGGTACCAGTTTACTGATCACTGATATTACTGGTACTAAGCTCACTGAAGATGTCGGTGCACCGACATCATCAGTGCTTCAGTGAGCTCAAAGTCAGTGCGTTCAGTGCCAGTTTTTTCCAGTATCTGCACTGACACCGCACATCCCTATGAAGTACCATACGTATAGAAAAATCGTACAATTATCAAACATATTTTATTTTAATTTAGAAGAAAAATGAGATGTAATATATAGATTTCCATTTAATCTCTTTATTATAAGCATATATTTGAGATCTTTTTAATACATTCAACAAATATGCTCTGTCGAGTTTTGGTATTTTACAAATAGATGATATATTACGGAATGGATATTATTTTTCAAGCTTTTTCGATATATTTTTGCTGCTCGTTTAGTTAATAGTTGAATTTTCATGATTATGCAAAATCGATCATTATACATCATGCTTCTATATATTTCATCGTGAAAATATTTATTGATTTAGATAAATTAAACCAATACTTTTATGCTCATATCAGTTTTTCATTGATTTCAAATATTGTTGATGCATCTGATTACTACAAAAACAATATCTAGTATTCATATGATAAATATAATTATGGATTCATATTTATTAGTAACTCAAAACAAAAAATTGTTCGGTTAATACTATCGGTATACATCTAATTTTCATTAGAATGAATATTTTTAAACGATTTAAATATATGATATTATTTTTTCGTTAAGAAAAATAAACGATATATTAACGTTTTTATATAACCATCATTGTTGTTAATAGTATATATTTCTCGAGACTGTTAATCAGGAATGCATTATCGCTCTTGTTTTCTTCTATTTCTCTTGAGGCTATATAAGTCATATCAGTATAAATATTGATCGATTCCTTATGATGTACATTTGGATATATATATATATGCTTGTACACTTTTATTTTCTAATGTCTATGTATGAATAATTGATTTATATTGTTATTATACAAGATAAGAAAAGTAAAAGTGAAAGGGTCAAGCATTTGAACTCATTTATTTTTTTCTTCTCTTACTTTTAGTTTTAATCTCATTTCAAGTATAAGCATATTATCATTGAAATCGAACAAAGAATAAATACCATTGGTACAATTACAACCTTATCAGTAAATACAAATTGAAAAAAAAAGAACGAAAACACACTATCAATCAAGATACCAATTTTAATATGATCGAACATCCAACAATAAAGAGGAAATGATGTAAGATTTTATTCAATATATATATATATATGAGAAAGAACATTCTGACATTTTCCTTTATGTAGAAAAAAAAGGTCTCATCTCGAACATAGTAATTAATAAAAGTGAGTAATATATTTTCTCTTGTACGATAAGTTGTTATATAGATGTATACAAGAGAAAGGCGGAGAAAAAGAAGAGGCGGATGATGATGGAATGTTATCCCTTACCAACAGAATTGTATGCAGCACTTCAAGTGACTGAGTAACATACGCGCGTGTGTGTTTCTCTCTTCAATATCCCACGCATACACATACAATACGAATGAAGAATGAAGAAAAAAAAAGGAAAGAACGTTGTTGTAAGAAATCAAACAAGGTGTATACATATATATGTATGTGTGTGTCGAAAAAAATGTTGTCTAAAATGACATTTTCCTATTCACCTTGAATCAGTTTTTTATACAAGTAATTGAATGTAAAAAGCGAACAGGATAGGTAACATTACATTGTAGATTCAAATCTCATTTCATTCGATCCAATTTGTATCATCAACGAACATCGCACACCCACACACATAGACACTAGAAGAAATATGATCCATTGGTGTTAATATTAGGAAGAATTAATAAAAATTTGAATGGCGCCATTAAGTACAATAAAGTATGTACGATGTCATAGACTAGATTTATTTTTGTTGTTTTTCTTTTGATAATTGTACATCATATATAGATATTCATAACAAAAAAGATAAGATAATAATATTCTAAATGCAACTGTATATATTATTTATTCATTGAGATTTTCACTATTCGTTTACATTTTTCATATACGATATGGAAGACTGATTTTTACCAATAGATTAGTTCGATAATAAAAAAAGCGCTGGAGAATCAAGTGTTATTTTTTCTTCTCTCGTTTGTTTTGTCTTACAACTCATATATGAATACATTGAAAATCGTGTATTAAATTTCGAAATAATGAATAACTTTGAACAAAATGAAAATGTTTAATCCTGTTTAATCCTCGTTTGCTTTTTATTTGTTTCTTTTTTTAAAAAAACTAGTCGACAATCTTTTAACAATAGTGATAACCTTGTACAACGACAATCAATGTTGAACGGAGGCAATACAAATTTATTTGATGTCAAGTATAAAGTCTTACTACTTGGTGATACACTTGTAGGAAAAACATCATTACAACGTTTTATTGCTGGAAAAGATTTTCGAACTGATATTGGCGCTACAATTGGTATATTGAATGAATTCAATTTTTTAGTATTAAAATAAATAAAATCTAATCAATTTTTAGGTGTTGATTTTGTTAATAAAATTATTCCTGTAGAACAATCAAAGATTAATTTACAGATATGGTAAGATAAAAGATGTTTTACGACAAGATAATATTAAGTGTGTTTAGTTTATAGAGATAAAAGATCAAATAGAGTGTGAATATATAGTTATTTACTAAAATATGCTACAGAGTCTATCAGTTTGATTTGTAATCATTTAAGTTTATGTTGGATATTATCAGGGACGTACCGAATGCGGAGCGTAACGCCTTCCGTGCTTTGGAAAAAATTTTTCGTGCTAAATTGAAATAAAAATTTGTGCTGCCCGCCCTCGATACCTAGGCACGCCCCTGGATATTACTGATGAAATAGTTGCTAAAATGATCTTAATAGATGCAATGAAACTTCATTGTGACGAAGTATATATTTTCGATCGTAAACTATTATCTACGCTATAGTTTATGATCACAAACTAAATTAGAATCATAAAAGATCGCATATGACTATCGTGTGTTGATATAAATTTTCTATCTGGTCTTTTATAAACTTAAGAACGATATTTTTTCTTTGTATTATAGGGATACAGCTGGTCAAAGAAATTTTCGAACAATCGGTCGAGGTTATTATGCATCAACAAAAGCATTTGTTCTTGTTTATGACGTTACAAATATGGAAACATTTCGTTTAATTGAATGTTTCAGTCAATTAATTGAACAAGTAAGTTGTTTGAGAGAAGATTCTACTGATACAAAATTTTGAGGTAGGTTGGATTAGATATTGAACGTCGATATTTAGTAGCAAATAAAATTGATTTAATTGAAGATCGACAAGTTGATGAAGATTTAGGTCAACGAGTAAGAAATTTCGAAATATTTTTATTAATAAAAATCAAAACCTGTTCTCTTAAAGTTTGCTCTACGAAATAGTATGACATATTTTGAAACAAGTTGTAAAACAGGTGAAAATATTCAAGAATTTTTTGAACAAATTGCATCTGATCTTGTTCGTCAATATAATCCAAAATTAGTAAATAATTGTCTTTCTTTTATACATCAATATTTCTTAATTATATTTAGCTTGAATCTCATTTACCTGTACTAAATAGCTTTGCATTTAATTATTATGTTCCTCCAACAATTGATCATAAATTAAGTGAAAAATTACGTAATGCAAATAATCAATCAATAAATCAGACGAAAAAGAAAAAGAAATTTAAACGTATAGAATTATTTTCAATCAATGACAATCAACGCTTTCATTTTCGTCGTTTTATTATTTGTTGTAATCCAAGAAAGACAACTGAAACAGACGCTTAAATCTTCATAATATATATTCAACAAAAAAAGAACTACTAATTATTTTATTTTTTTGTTATATTTATATTGAAAGACATTAGTCAACTGTATATATTATTGATGAAACAATCCTATAACAGTGGTTTTGTTTTGTATAATTTAACTATAAATATTCTTTTTAGAATGAATATAATAACGATGTAGAAATAATTATTGTTGAGCAACACAGACAGACAAAACTCAAAAAAAACGGAGAAATACGTGTAGAAGTTTTTAAATTCTAACGAAAATAAAATCCGGAAAAGCGCACATTTTTACGATTTTTATCTCCGTTAACCCTCGAACGGTATCCTCATCTTGCTACATAATGAGAACTTAAAATTTTGTTTGTTTTAAGCTGAGCGTGGACGAATCGAGATTTGCATCATAATTTTCATCGAGCATATATACGATGGTATGAGTCTTGATAAATGAAAACATTCCTGATTAAAGATTTTAAGAGTCAAAAAAGGTGTTGTGGGTCTTGTCGGACCCACAAAAACCGTTCGAGGGTTAACTTTGTCTACTATGATTAACGGGTCGACAATTTGTGCTAAACGCGTTAAATCTCACAAAATAACGTATCAAACTGCGTTAAACTCCGCGTTTCAGAGAGTAATTATGGAGTAAATTTTAACGCAGTAGAACGCTTTCTGAAAAACTGCGTAGAAACGAATTAAGAATTCGTAAAAACGCTGATTGAACGCGTTTTTTTAAAGATCATGTCTGCCTGGGAAGTAATTCTGCTAAACTTTAAGCTGTGAAGCTTGTAGTCAAATTGTTTCTTCTGATTATCAAAAATGGCGTGATATATCTAAGTATACGGATTACTAATGCATTTATGATCTTTTTTTTACTGTGCTATATTTATCAAACCAGAAATATTTATAATTTACATTTATGCAAGCGATCCTATCAAGCTTCTATTCAGTTTTGTACAACGCTTATCAACGGCAGGATATAGTAGTATTAATTGATAAGATGATGTGGTTCGTATAAGTCAATATAACCTCAATTTGAACTTTTATAGAGATAAGCACAGGCACTGATAAATAATAGTCATGATCTGTATTTTTAGACTCTAGGGAAAACACTATGACTTTAGTAAATTATAACCATATGTTCAACAATACTCCCTCGTTATTAGCAATTAGTAAATGAAATTCCAATGAACAAAATTCAATATCTATGATTATTATTTCTAGGGATATAGTATTTACTAATTAATTTAGATCGTCATACGTATCGCATATCAATTATATTACAGCCATAGATAAATTCGCTTATACTCAAAATTACAACTATATATTAATATTCAAGGTGTACTATTATTTTCTAAATTATTTAAAAAATAAAAAGCTTTTTGACGAAACTTCATAGAGAATATTATATGAAGGTTGATGGTATGATTTTTATTGTGTGATATTTCATTTTTAATAATATTTACCTTGAATTTTATAAATAACAACATATGATATATAATCATAGAAAAGGTAAAAACTATTATAAAAAGTCATAATTCATGAACAAACAAGTCAGATAGTAGAATTTTTTTTATGAATCAACCGTCCGAATGATCCGTCTATACATAGAATTTCCATATTTAATATAACTATTCTTAAAACAAGATAATTATGAAACATTTTATTGTAATATTTTCTTTATTAAAACTAGCAAAATAATATTCTGTTTGAAGATTAGAATAACTCTAACATTGCAATAATATTAACTAAATATGAACGTGAGAACGGAAGTCATTATTACTGTCGAGCAATATGAATGAAGATCTTAATAGAAAAAAAAACATAGCGAGTTGAATAACAATCAGTCTGGCTTGACATTGATATTAATATATATAACGTTATATTTTTCTAATAATAATAGTTAATGTATACAAGAATTTTTATACATCTGATTCTGTATAAGTCGGATTTGATCGAAATAAATCTATTGTATGATGTGCATGTGGTTTTAAAATAGGTAGTTGATCATTATCATCATCGTCATGACTATGATTAGGAAATGTTGTCATTATTGGACTGTGTTGTGCTTTGAAAACGTCACTAGTTTGTCTTTTTCCTGAACTAATCATTGGTGATTGGTCAATAAGATATGAATTCCATGGAGTATTATCTAAAAGATGAGCAATACAATCATCTGCATTAATACTAGGCTCTTCACTTTCATTAATATCATCTTCATCATAATCATCGATATATTTTTCAGTAAATGGTCGAAGTTTTTTTAATGTAAATGTAACATTATCATTGTCATCAATATCATCAAGCATTGTTTTTGTTGACGGTAATGAAACAAGTTCAATTTCGATTGGTATTTTTTTAAAACTTCTACTTTCATTTTCAACAATTTCAGCTAGAAGATTTGGATTATCTTGAGATAATGTTATTGATAAACGTCTTATTTGTTTTCGTCGTGCATTTATTTGTGCACGTTTATGACGACGATGTTGAATAATAACAGGTAAAAGCATTAAAATACTTAATGCATACATTAATGGTACAAACATTGGCTTATATGTTGGAAGATATTCTATATCCGATTCATTTGAATTATTGTTTGATTTAAATATATCTTTACATTGAATATCAATATCATTTACATAATGAATAAAATGAAAACAAATAATAAATAAATAAAATAATTTATTTGAAGAGTTAAATTGTTGAAAAATTTGTATAGAATTTTGTTGATATCGATATGTTGCTGGAAATAAACCATATTTTATTTGTTCATGTTCAAATAATCGAAATGTAAGATAATAAGAATAATTTGTTGTTAAATTATAATATAAAATCCATGTATTATTATCAGTATAATCAATATTAACAGATAATTGATTTATAGTTCTATTTTCATTTCCAGATATTAATAGAACTATAGATGATGAAAAATAAATGATAATGAAATAAAGCATAGCTAATAATCGATTAATCTTAAATAATAGAAAAATATTATTTTACATGCGTTTATAAACTTTCTATTATCTTAATGATACTGCCTATAAAATAATAGAAAATCATATCAGAAAGACGAGAAAAAGATAATTGAAGAACATTTTTTTTCCATTAGAATACTATAGGTAGATGGGAATTTGTTCTAGTTTTTCTTCCTTTCCTTTCTTCTATGAGCATTATTTTACATGGAAAAACGCACCCACACCCGTCTTCCCTCTTTTTTTCTACTTTTCCATTTATTTCCTTCAAGTAGCATTGTTAACATAAAAAAAAAGTTTTAGAATGGTGATAATTTAGATTGAATTTGTGTAAAATATAATAGCCAAATTTATAATATTAATCAAATAAAATATTTAAAATGTATTAATTTAAGTAAACAAAAATCTTCAAATGCTTTGAAAGATTAGAATTGATGAAAGAGTACGCTTGATTTATTTATTACAAATTGAAAAGTTATTATTATAAGTGATATCTGAAAATTATTCTTTTGTTAATAAGAAGTCTAGATAAACGATATATATTAAATAGTATATTTACTATTCGGAATTTAAATATTAACTATTCTATGGAAGAACAAAAAAAGCTTTTCTTGTTATTAATTGTGTGAAATGTGGTTATTAATGCATGTTAAATTCTATAAAGGAAAATTTGGATTCCCTGAAGAGTACATTGAAAAAATTTCCTTATCTCATAACATATCATTAATATGTAAGAAATAGAATTCTTCTTTTTTTAGCAAGAAAATCCGGTTACATCACAGATATTTTTACAATTAAATTTTTTCTACAAATTATCTAATGATAAGTAAGATAAATTGAAATATATTCTAATTCTATCTTGAAGCTATGATATTATCTTTTTTCTCTTATTTAGATGAAGAAAAGAATCGATAGTAATTATCATCTTAATAAGATACGTTTTTTTCTGTTAACGATATTCTATATCTATTACTATAGCAAATAAAATTTAACGAAGCATCAAGAGAATAGTAATATATACTTTCCAAGAAATAACAATATATATTTGTCTATATTCTAAATACAATACATATTCAAATAGTAAAATAAATTTTAATGCTAATGATGGTATGCATACATTCCGAGCGACGGACTCTATTCTCAAACAGGAAGTCGATAAATACTACTCGAGCGAACAAATCCTCTCTTATACATCGATCGAATAATAATCTTCGACAAGAAATAATAGAATATGAATAACGTCTTTTATTGTTCAGTCAATCGAAATGTACAATGTCAGGCAATGTAGTATTATGTTTCTTAATTAAATAATATACATCTACGATATATTCTAAAAATCGATCAACCAATATTTTGGCTGCTAGTAAAGTAGAAGCATATTTTAAACAACGAATAAATTCTACTATACTTATTTATTAATTAGATGGATAATAAATTAAATAGAAAAGCGAATAGTATAAAACCACATGTAAAATTCGCATCCATTGAATGATGATACCAGTGTCAAATTAATAAGTGATTTAAACAAAGAAAAATAATTTATGAGTCAGTGACATAGATTATTATGCGTCTAATTTCAATTGAACATTCGTTCGAGAAACATCCGCTCAACGAATTCTAACTAACAGTATGCTCACATTTTTCATATCCCAAATTGTAATTTAGGATGATAACTGGTGCATCATTAAATTTAAAAAACTAAATCTCTGATTAATAGAGTTCCCTGATTTATACTTAACATACTTATTAAAATAGTTTTCTAGGGGAATCCGTAGCGGAATAACTCATATTGAAGTCTAAATTCATTTATGTAACTGTTTGTCTTACGCTGAAAGCAAACCCCGTCCATCTATATTTTTGGAAAGAAAAAAAATCGAAAACAACTAACATGTATATATAGTTCCCGTAAAGCTACATTCTAAGTTCTTTTCTATCCTTAGTTTATCATTTTAGCTTAATGGTAGATGCAGACATTCATTCTAATTCCATATTCGTTGATGACTTCATAGTACTCATATTTCTCTAGGATTAAGTTCAATAATAAAGTTTAATATAAGAGAAAATAAAAATATGTACTATCTGTTTATTTACGTCCATTCTATATTTGTAAGTACATAGTCATAAGCAATAAATGTGAGCAAACGAACTAGATTTTATATGAACAAATAAACTGTCGTTAAAATTAATTAAATATACAAAGAGTATTCTATAAATTAAGATGGATGAAAGTGCGCTCACAGTTTTTTACATTTTGTCTGAATGTTTCCCATATATATACACAAAGGGTTACATTAGAAATGGTTTAGGATCAGTTCAATGCTGTTCCTTTGTTCGTTTTAATGAGATAGTTTTTATACAAAAAAAGATGATCTCATAGGATTTTTTTTTGTAGAAATGACGGATGAAATATTTACATAAAAGGTGTCGAACATTGCTATTTCATTAGCCTGAAATAAATATTTTTTAGCTTAATAATAATAAAAGAAAATATTAAATGGAACTCTAAAGATTTGTTTTTTAATATAGTCCTATTTACATTTATCTTCTTATAAATTGAAAAAGTTGACTTTTACTGATATGTTACTTCCCATAAGGTGTCTCCCTCTTTCTAATGTTACGCCTTTAATCTTATGTAATTGGTTATCGAATAATAATATTTTGCTTATAACATAACGATGTTTATCGTGAGTCGATCAAACGAAACGAAAACACGATTTTTATATACTTCTATAACATACTTTCTAATTAGAAATAAAAAATACACCTGTAACTTATCGAATTATAATAAATCATAATATGCAAAGCTATGAATGATTTGACGTTCGCATACAATCCTAATGTTTTGCAAAATAAAACAAATCAATTTTTTTTCACACGTGGTTTCGAATGTTTCCTTTTGAAAATACAAACAAAAAATTTTTTTTTCTTATTATTTCATCATCAAAAGGTGTTTTTTTTGCTTATAGGCTACACCTACCATGGATTCCCTTAACACAACAATTGTTCAGCAAAGTAAGCATTCTATTAAACATATCTAACTACAATTTTATCAGTTACATCAAACATAGATTTATTATATATAAAAAGATAAGTGAAATAGCAAACTTGATGATCAATGCTTTTTATTCAACTCAAAATTGATTTTGTTGACGATAGTATTTATACCAAAGGGGTAAATGCTGGCACTTAACCTGCACTTTCCTCCTTGAATTTTTGTATATATATCTACATTTGATGACCTTGCTTTGTATATCAAAATCTATAGTCTCTTTATGATTTGTTGTATTTTCTAGTTGAAACATATATAAATGAAGATAATTTAAAAAATGATCCTGTCTTGGCAAACTATGCAAATAAAAATAATGGATGGATCCGACTTGAATTATTAACTCGTTGTAATAAATTATCATGTTATAGTTATGATAAAATCCTTAAGGCTTTACATTCTAAACAATCAAATACAATTGAATTAAGTTCGTTTGAACCACGATGTATACGTCGTCGATATCAAATATTAATAGATGATAGTATTCAAGATAATCGAACTGTGATTGTAACTGGTTTACCACGTAATATTAAATGTGAAGAATTAATAGAATTTTTCAATCGTTTTTATCCAATTCAAGAAATAAAAATGTTTTCATCAACAAATAAATTCAATGGAAAAATTCATGTTATATTTAATAAATTATCTGATGCGTTAGCATTTGTTCAACGGTCAACATTATCATCAATTATCTATGTAAATGATGATGTACTTCAAACATGCAATGGTTATACACTTATATGTAAATTATTAAATGATGAAATTAATAAGGATTTAATTAAACAAAATGATCAACATAGTTTCATTAAAGGTAGAAAAAAAAGTCAAAATTCATAATAAACTAATGTTGTTTTTTTTCTCTTAAAGGAAAATCATTTTCTACTCGACTTACCACTCATTCATCACGTGTCTCATTCAATAAAAACACTTCATCGAACATAGATACTTCTGGTAAATAAAATTTTCATTTATTCCTTTTTACTAATATAAAGCATAACACGATGACTAATGTTTGTCTGTAATTTAAAGAAAAACAAATGTAAAATCATGATTCTAACCTAGCAGAGTCTGACTTTCAGAAATAAGATCCGTTTGCTTACCGGAAGAACACTAAGATCAATAAATATATTTTACTAGGAGCAAACGAGTCTTAAGTCTTTGAAACAAATTCGAACTTTAGTCCAATAATTTAGTATAAAATCAGTACGCGTATTATTCAATACGAATAACCTTAACCCTTTAACGGGCGGTGGGACATATATATACCACTTTTTGTTTCTTTCCAATCATCGGGTCACGGTGAAGTAAGAACAATTATTTTGATATAAAATACTATGATACTGCATAGATTGAATATATCTATGAGGGTGTGAGTGTGAGTGTGGATGTAGCTACAACGGCAACACCCAAAGTCACAGCCGTACCCATCTACACCCATACCCTAATAATCTGCATCAAAGTTATAATTCTATGCGAAAAAAATTGACAAAACTTGCTCATCCACTAGTCACCCGTTAAAGGGTTAAGACAATACAAATATATTTGTTTTATTTTAGTTCATCGTCAATCTTCACCAATAATTTCTCAAACCAAACCCTATTTTAAATCGAATATAGATGCTAAAGAACAAGTACTTTTGTCTCCAAAGAATAATCAATTAAAAAATTTTGATTATGCAAAACAAAACATCGTTTATAATAGATTTTCATATGATTTCTATATACCTGATCATCTTCTTAAACAAATACATAAATGTGTAGTAATATCTGTCTTAAATCCACATTGCTTTACAATTCAACTTCAACAAGATATAGTAGAATTTGATAAATTTCAAAAAGAAATTAACGATTTTTACAACAAATTAAATGATAAACAATATTATATAAAACCGGAACAAATCCGTATTAATCTATGTGTTATATGTTGTGATACGAAATCAACGGATGACAATAAAATATGGAATCGTTCACAAATACTTGATTTTGACTCATCGGATAATACAGTGAATTTATTTTATGTTGATTTAGGTACATGGGAGGAATATGTACCGATAAATCGTTTACGACATATAACTGATCGTTTTCAACAACATCAAGTTTTTTCTTTAACTTGTCGTTTAGCTCATATAATTCCATTAAATAATGATAATGATTATTTAACATGGACAGATGAAGCAACAAATCAATTCACAGCTGTTATTGATCAAATTGTACCGGAAATAGAATTTTTATCATTTACTTCAAATGGTTGTATACAAACAAATGTATTTGTTATTAATTCTGATCAACATGTTTGTGTTAATGATTATATGATACATATAAAGAAAGCTAAATCTAGTATGAATACAACGTTAACAAATATGATTGAAGATGATGGACAAAATAGTATTCAAGTATGAAATAATATTCTTCTTACTAACGTCTGATAGATGCACTAAGACAATCATAGGATAAAGAGTTATCATAATGTAGAAAAGGGTTTCTGCTAATCATATATTGCGGATAGATTTGACAGGTAATAAAGTTAATATTGAAGTCGTACATTCAAAAGTAGTAACAGGAAGACAAGGCATCTATTCAATAATAAAATCATGTAGATTAACAGTGTTTTATCTAGCGGATGAAGTGGGTGGACGGCGCCAACTAAAATCTTGATTCGCCCACTCAGAAAACACGACTTAGATAAAGTACTGATAGGCTGCGCCCACCCAAAAAAAGAAACTTAGATGAAAGTTTTACTCATATTATTTTTATTCTTATAGTCAGACGAACATGATATTGATGGTAATGGTTCATCAGTTCATCCAGTCATTGCATTATATAATAGATTAGGAGAGTAAGTAAAAAAAATGAAAATTATGCAGAATTAAAATAAAACATTTTTTTTTCTAGGATTTTACAACATTCACTCATTGAATCTCGCACTGCGAGTACAAGTAGTTCTGTTATTTCATCTCCATCTTCTGCATTACCACGATCATATGTTAAACTTATTCATGTAAATCTAGACACGACTATTCCTAATAGACAAGAATATAATAATCGTCAACAAATGTTACCGATTATTTTTGTTCGATATAAAAAAACAATACTCATTCCTGATTTTAATATTTATACTCTCCTTCATGCTATAAATCCTACCATTGATATTCACACAATAGAAAACTATGTAAGTATACATTTATTTCATATTTATCAAAAACAAAACATTATAATTTTATTTTAAGGCGTTTGCTATTAGATATAATTATATATATATAACATCCGAAACAAATTTTGATATATTTACACAATTGAGTTCATTAAATAATATTCAGTATTCAAATACTATAGGATTATATCCTCTTGATTTTGTTGGTTATATCCTTGAACATTATAATTTCCACGATACTAACGTCTTTCAAGCATTAGAAAGTGCTAAATGTGCTCAATTGCATGCATCTGATATTGCTCTATGGTTTTCATTAGACAATGAAGTAAATAATACTCGATAATTCTTATTTTCATTATATAGTTTTGTTTTTTTAGCTTCATCCTTCAAATACATTTGTCTTCGGCGATTCTATTAAGTATGTAGTTTCTTTTCTCAAAACCATTAAGATCGAGATTTCGTTTTTATAGACTTAATCAACAATCATTAATTCCAAATCGTCTTCCATTTTCCAATCGTTTAATTAACCCAACATAAAATCATAATCATCGTTTTTAATTTCAATCCGGTGCTGTTTTATTTTTAATTCTTTCTTTTTTTTGCTGATAAAATATTGACCATAAGAATATTGTGATTTTCAAAATAATTCCATTTTTTTTAATAATATGTATATATAAATACTATTCAAAAAATCTTTTTTATTCGTATAAACAAGAATCAAAATTGTTTATGATTTTTATATATTCAGATTTACTAAAATAAAATAATGTCTACTCGTTGTATACAAATAGCAACACGTAATGTTCAAACATTATGGATGATTAATAATCGTCGACAATTTCAAACATCAGTTTTACGTTTATCTGCTAATACTTTTCATGTAAAAGATGATGCAGATTTTCAAAAACAAGTTGTTGATAGTAAAAAACCATTTATTGTCGATTTTCATGCAACTTGGTAAGAGAAGAAAGAAATTTTGAATAGAAAAAATCAAAATTAGAAAAATTTTATTTTAGGTGTGGACCATGTAAAGTTTTAGGTAAATTATTTAATTTTGATGATATACACATATTTAATAGAAAAGTTTTTGAATAGAACCTCGCTTGGAAAAAGTTCTTACAAATTATAATAAAAAAGATACATCTGGTGACAAACAAATTCAATTGGCTAAAGTCGATATCGATAATTTAAGTGAATTAAGTGGCAAATACGGTGTACAAGCAGTACCAACAGGTATGCACTGAATATTTTCATGAAAAAAGAGTATTGAACTCACTATTTTCTTCCCTTCCCTAACAGACCGTGACTAACTTATTCAAGGCAGTACTATTATAGGTCGTGACGAACAGTATAGCATTCTCTTATCTACAGTGGAAGTCAACGGTTCGTTTCTATTTAACACTTTGATCTCGTTGTAACGGAACTGACAACCGTTTTTATAATCAAAAGAAATTTGAGATGATTTTATTAAAATTGTATGAATGTTTCGTTTGATTTTGACATAGAATAGACTTTGTCCTTGAGCGTTTGATGCGTGTTGATCCAGTTTAGTTATGTTTTAAAGTTTATCACAGTTAAAATATGACTTTTAGTGATATAAGCATTACATTTCATGTTCTTTGTTAAAAATATATACAGATGGATATGAAAGTCATGACATTATTTTGAAAAAAATAGAAACCAGATGTTTAAGATATCGTGATAAACAGTTTGTATGATTCATTAATAAACGAGATAAGATTAGTTTACATCGCGATTTGTAGACTATATTATTCACAACAGTTTATTACGAAAGCATGATTTTATAAGCAAATTGAACATTAATAATAATAAAATTTCACTTATGTCTTTCTAGTCTTGGCTATTAAAAATGGCAAAGAAATTAGTCGATTTACAGGTGCTGCAGATGAAAATCGAATTCAAAAAATGATTGACCAACTTAGTCGCTAAACAACACCAAAAAAAAATAAACAATAGTTTCGTTTTTCTTTATCATCTATTGTAGTGATTTCTAGTTTTTTTTTTGATTAAAATCGATCATTGGGAATTTGTGGATATATTGCTGGATGTTGATTTGGTTGTATATAATTCATATTGTTATATTGAGGTAATGGTTGATGAAAAGCAGACGGCATAACGGGTGCTGATGGTTGAAATGGTTGAGCGATCATATAAGATTGTTGTTGATAAACTGGTGCCATAACAGAATCAGCAGCTGTTGGTGCTCCATGACGTTTAGCTTTTGAACTGACATAAAAATATAATACTAAATATATAAGACATGTTGCTGCCATAACAGCACCAGCAGCTAATTGACCTTTAATCAATGCTATACGAGTATTTCTACAATCATAACTTGAAATGTTATTAGAATCACATGCATTAGAATCCCATAGATTATGATACCATGATACATTATCACATATTCCACCTGGTAAAAAACATTTATCGGGTTGCTGAATAAATGCAATATTAATACCAATTAAAGCACATGCACACATGAATGCTATAATATTTTGTACAACAGCATGTGTTGCACAACTTCGTCGACGACAACAACATACTAAAAAAAATATATTAATTAATTTGAATCATTCTATTCAAAATTTACCTGCTGCAAACATTGAAATCCATAGAATAGTAAATGATAGTGATAACCAGAATCCAGCAAATAAGTTTGTCAGTTTAACACTAAGTATAATATGTCCAATTTCTAAACCAATGATACTAAATGTAGTTAACATTTGAATAATAGCTAGAATAGCTACGACTGATAAAGGAAATAATGCATTAAATTGTTGATCTCGTGTTAAAAATGATTGTGGATATTGCTGATGCATTTTTCAACGTTGATCGGTTGAGAATATCGAACAAAATAGAAATGAAGAGATTGACATATTTTCATTTCACTTTTTCTTTTTTTTTTTTTTTGATGACATATGATCTCCATTTGTATAGGTAGGCGATACATATGGAGATATAATTTCTAAGTCAATATTACCACTGATTGTGAGAGAATAGGAAGAAAAATTGCTTAACTATTTTTTTTTCACATCAAAAAAATATATATATTTATTGTTACTATTAAAAATTTAACGACAGCAGTGATAACAAGATTTTTGTCAATATTATATTTTTTAAAAAATACATTTACATATGTTATTTTATTAACTGATAAGAAATAAAAAAAAACTTCATGTTTTTCTTTTACTAGCAAAAGTACATAAAATATTGGTCATGATTTTTTTTCAATGAATCAGACCCATTACTTTTATGTCATGTCTAATGAGTAATATATATCACGAAGATTAAAAGAAATAATACAGATAATCAGAACAAAAAAGAAAAGGAAAGAACATTATTCATTCATTATTTACACTTTTAACTGATCAATAAATTCGCAAAAGGTGAAGCGTATCAAGTCAAAAGTGAAAATGATATTGACGTCAATAAATATCTACAAATGATAATGATGACGATATAAATCGTGTAATAGAGAATTTATTCGGTCATGTCAATTATGAGTAACACATATAAAATGATAAAAAAAACATGAAAACGAGTATGTTTTCGTATAGCCTTGCTTTAATAATGTGCTTGTTTTGCTGTTATGATTATTAACATTAGTTTTTTCTTCGCGCTTCATTGATTGCATACGATATATACCGTGCAAAAAATTTCTGTTGAAAAGAATAAACAGAAGAATCATATATCCACAAATGTCTTCACTTAGACGGACACATTCTAATACAAGAAATCGGACTAGTAAAGTATCTCATTTTTTCTTATCGATTTATTAAATAATCATTTCATTTTTTTTGCAAAGGCCAAAAAATATCTCGTTTACACTTACGTCATCTTCATATACATAGTCATAAGAAACCCACGCAAGACGCTATACGTCCACAAATATCAGGTAGTTCGGAAGGAACTCAATCATCTAAACAATTAACTCGAGAAGAAATTGAACATCGAAATCTTATTCAACAATATATTTTTTCGAAATTAGAAGATTATGCTAATAAACCACGAATATGGCAATTAACACATTCAAATCATATAAAACGTCGTATTCTCGATAAATCAGGACATATATCTCGTCTGTATTCTGTACCTGTTGATTTCGTTCGTGAATCTATAAATCAATTTTTTAATGATGCTGATAAACATATATCACAATTACGTCGTCTTACTGAATCATCATCACATGCATTAAAAGACCCGAATATACTATTTCAAAAAGGAAAAAAAGATAATAATCAATGGCGTTCAATACAATTAAAACGTGCAAAAGAAATATTTCCAGATATAAATAATGAGGATTATACAGACAGTGAACGTTTACATAAATATCATAAATATATAATTGAAACATTAACACCAAAAGCTGATAAAGAAAATATAAATTGTACTGCACAAAATCGTGAGCAACCATTTGATTTAAATCATGCATATGAACAAGCTGAAAATAAAGGAAAAGATTATTTATCACATATGTTACAAAGCTATCATGATCGAACTATACCTGATCTTGCAATTATTCAAGAAATGGTTAATCATGGTATGATTTTAGAAAAAAAAACCATTGAAAAATTATTTTTATTTATTTAGGTATACAACAGATGAAAGTTGCACCAACAAGTGAAGATTTTGAGGATGCAAATAGTTTCCTAGCTAAAATTTCTGTATTACATGCAGGAAAACAAGCATATGAATGTGGTTTACGTAATATGGGTGATGATTTTATGTTATTACGTTTTGGTAAAGTTTTTGGACCAAATGCATTACCAACAACAGCAAGTACAAATGATCAATTTATATATCTTGTTCATATGTTTATGAAATCAGTATCATCTCTTATGATAACAGCAAAAATCACTGATAAAGATAATAAAGAAAATCCATCAGGAGTTATAAATTTAATTACAAATATTTTTTCATCAGAACCAAGTTCAAGCGTTTATAAATTACGCGATGAATTATTTTCACCTAACACAAATGTCGATCAATGGACATGGTTATTAGAAAAATGGCGTGATGCTTTACGAACATTTCCAATGATGCTTACACAAGTTGGAGCATTTGGACGTTTAATACGTACAACAATTGGTATTGGTATAGCACGTCTATTTAATTTTTCTGAAACAATAATTAATACAAAAAAAATGTTAGATATTACATATATGAATGAACAATTATTTCATGCACTTCAAACAGGTTTCTATTTTGGTGTTGCATATGCTATCGTTGATTGTGTACAAGATGAAATTCGAAATATTGAGAAACTTCCTGCACATCATTTTGCTGTTTTAAATACGGGAAGAAGTCCAAATGATAGATTATTATCACCAGCTGAAACAATTGAAAAATGGCTTTTAATTATGGAAGAATTATTACGTGGAGGCGAATTTAATCGAAAAGAAATACCAAAAACACCATTAACACCATTATTATTAGAAACATTTGATAGTCTTGTTACATTAACGAAAAGTATTAATGCAACAAGTTTGGCTTTTGATGAATTGGCACTTTTATTACGATCACAAAGAGTAGATAAAAAAGTGCCAGAAGAATTTTATAATGATGAAGAACTTTTCTTAGGTAAAATTAAATTTAAACTATCTATATTAAGATTTATTGACTGTAAATGTCACACTTTTATGGTGCTAATTTATGAATCTTTCGCAAAATTTTAAATATTCATGGTTTTCTTTATTTTCGAAATCTTAAAAATTTAGATTAGAATTTCCTATGAAGTTTTTATTTATTATATAAATCTAATCCAAGTATTCTTCTAGGTGCTGTTCTCAAGTCTCATTTTACATATACATGTACAACATTTTTGGGTAATATTAAATCTGCTCGTGAAGAAAGTGAACGTTTATGGATAATGCCATTCTTAGGACAATTAACTGATGATTGTCGTGATTTTTATGATGATGTTACATCAAATTCAGTTACTTCATTTACACATTATGCATCATTTATTGGTCGTCAACAAAAAACAAACAAACATTTATTAAATCCATTCTATGCATTTTTATATCTTTGTACAGATTTATATATATCTTCTGATCGTGACGCCCAAACAGGTGCTTTTCTTGGTCGTCGTATAGCCCGTACATTAAAATCAATTGAAATAAGTGGTGGTGACTCTGCAATACGTGAATTTCTTCATATTTTTTGTCAAAATAATCAATCTTTACATGATTATTTTTGGAACGATCTTCGTAGTCATTTCCCGCGTGTAAGTGATCCAGAAAAATCTTTTTTTCGTATAATTAATAAAGCAAGTACACAATATGCAAAAACAAATCGTAAATTAGAAACATATGTTGGTGATCATTTAAAACAAATTGAAGATGCTTTACAAATTCAATCATTTAGTAAAATTCAAAAAACAATACCAATTAGTGATCGTGATGAACAATTATTATTGTCAGCTATGAATTATAGTGTTACAGCTGGTGGTAAACGTTTACGACCATTAATGATGTTAATGGTTGCTGATTTATATAATTTAAATGTTAAAAATGTTCTACCATTAGCATGTGGAATTGAATACTTACATACATCATCACTTATATTAGATGATTTACCAGCTCAAGATAATAGTGATTTAAGACGTGGTCGACCCACATTACATAAAGCAACTATAAATAATGAAATACCAGTTAATTTATGTGAAGGTCGTGCACAATTAGCAGCTGTTGATTTAATAGCTGTTAGTATGAGTTTAATCAATCATGATCTTGTTAAAAATGGTTTTCCAGCTGAACGTGTTAATCATGTTATTAGTGAAATATCTCTTTCAATGCATGATCTATGTGTTGGACAAATGATGGATTTACGTGCAGCACATATGGGTTTAGATAAGAATGAAGAACAAGTTGATGAACTTGATCGTATTGCATGGTTAAAAACAGGAAAAGCAATTGAAGTTGTACTTATTACACCAGCTGTTTTAGCTATGTCATCTTCATCTACGAATCAAGTCATTGAAATAGCTCGTATTCGTGAATTAGGTCGTCTAATGGGAATATTATTTCAAATGCGTGATGATTTATTAGATGTTGAAGGAGAAAATATTGGTAAACCAGCAGCACTTGATGTCAAAAATCATACAGTCACTTATGTATCAACATTAGGTGCTGAAGGTACCCGTCAACGTTTAAAAGAATATCGTCGACAGACATTGAATCTAGTAGATGAAATATGGCCAGTAGGTGCTGGAACAATTAAAGATGTTATAAACCATATGGTTGATCGAAAAAATTAATTTTTTTGTGAATTTTATATAGTAAATGCTGAAATATTGTTAAAAATCCCCATATTTTTTTTTTCAAATATAGTTGATGATTTCTTTTAAAAACTTTATTTGCAAAGTGAACTAGTTCTACGTGATAAAGAATAACAAAATCATATAAATTGTATCGTGTTTATTGAAGTGTAATAAGTATTTTCAGATAATAAAACTTGTCAATCATTCATCATAAATTGATCAGTGAATTTTCTAGTATGAACTTATTTATACAAAAAATTATTCAGTCTAGATAAGCAAACATCAGATGTTAATTCTTTTATGAACAATAGATAGATAATACAATAATAATTATGAATTATTGAGTTTATCGTTTGATGAACTCAATTTCGATACCCCGCGAAATCAATTAAACTCTCATAGACACAAAAACAATAATCGTAAAATAACGTACTTTGCATTTAAAGTCTTTAAAAACAATTCTAGGCTATAAATCAGAAAAAAAGGAAGTGTTTTATACAATGTATCAACAATAAGAGATTAAGACAAAATTTTTGATCCTTCCATTATATATATGTTTATTTTAAATAAATTATTCGTAATATAAATTTCAACCCATCCGATTGATTGTATCAATAAATATATATATTAGATTTTATTCCAATGTTGTATTGCTTGTCGTTTTATATTAGACTTATCAGAACAGTTGAAAGATAGTCAAAGATCTGTTGATATATTAATCTTCATCATCATATAGTTTTAAAAAAAGTACATTTTCTTTGTTATACTTATAAATACCATTAGGAGAGAAAGGATTAAATAAATCGGAATATTTTCGTATAATCATATTAAGAATAGTTATTTGAATAAAAGAAACAATTTAATCTATTATTCACTGAATCATTTCACTCTCAAATTCAAGTTTTTTGATTGTGTAAGTAAGCCGGTAAGTACAAATTTTATTGTTTTTTTTATCCTATAAAAAAAAGATTTATTTTCGTGACTAAATAACAAAAAAGAAAATGGACGTTAATGCCGGATTTCTCAAAGCACGAAGTGCTCTAGTCAATAATAATATATTACAAATTGACTGCGAACATTCGCGCTCAGTGATTGTTACCGGTAAATATAGATATGACATTGTCATTTTCAAATTTTCTTTCTTCAATGTTCAAAATACATACCTATAATTTTGTTTGAGATAATCATCATCATTAGACCGTGACCATTATTATTCACTGTTCAGGACATATACGATTGAAAATCGAGAAAAGAGAAAAAAATCTTCGAACATGTGATACGTTGAAGTCGATGAAGCTAATCAAATTGTGATAAAATATGTGAGCGAAAAAGAAAAAGAAAAATAGGAGTCTGTTGAATAGATGTCCCATCGACGATGTGTGTCTCTTTTTCTTTTCGGTATGTATGTGCATATAATTGCATTAATTCATATCGTTTCTTTTCCTCTCTCAGTCAACTACATTTCACCTTTTTCGTCGATGTGTGTGCGTGTGTGTGTCTCGTTCTCTCTTTCTGTCTCTATTGTATGAAAAAAAAATGCCTAAGGCTTCAAGCGAAGAAAAGAAAACTGACTGACCAAAACGTTTTTAAAATGAATAAATGGACAATAACACTCTTTACTTGTCAATGAGAAAAAAGCCTGAAGGTATAGTTCCTCTTTTCACTGGTCATTAAAACAATGACAATAAGTATCTTTTTAATACATCGGACGACGACGACGACGACGACAACGTTTTCTCTCGTTCTTTTCCTTCTAACATGCCATTGCTATCGAACCATTTTCGAAAAAAATAAAATGAAGGGTCGATGAAAAGAAGAGAAAAAAACACGTATAAAACCCTTCACGCGTTTTTCTTTTCTTTTTCATCAATCTGAAGAGCAAACACATACATACACGCACTACGAAACAGACTACTTACCATCATCATCAAAATGAAAAGAAAAAGAAGACAACAAGAAAGAGAAGAAAAAAAAGGCATGTCATGAGCACTATGAGGGTATTCGTTTTCGTTGTCAAATTATGTCTCTTTTCTTTTCTCTTCGTTCTATTTACCATTCATATATATATATATATATTTTTCTCTCTCCCTCCCTTTCTCTCTCTTCTTTTTCTTTGTCTTATGTGTTCGTTGATGGTCAAATGTTTGCTTAGACAGGTAGTCATATGAAGTAGCTTACCCAACCCAAATTTATCGTTGTTGTCAAAGCCTTATAATTGTACGTGTTCGCATACACATATAGTCATAGAAAAAAAAAAGACGAAGAAGAAGAGAGCTACTCTTGTTTCAGCAACATCACACACGAATGCAAATAAAACAATACATATTTGCATGCACATCGTAAATTGACCAGTAGATCACATATGTATCCATGGTGTCTATTTGTCTGTCTGCTCTTATCAATGTACAAAAACGTTGGTAAGCAATATCGACAAAAAAACAGGCAAACGATTGTGGAAATAAAGAGAATAAGAGAGGGAGAAAATAAAAAGAAAAGACGAATAAAGTATCGCCGTAAACCGTTTTTCTTCATCCCTCTAACTTTATCGACGACTACACGACAATGGGTAGAAAAATCATGTGCATGCGCATATACATTTTGCCCCTTCTTACATGTTTTGTTTCATTTATATAGTTACTTCTATCGTCATTGTTGTGTTGATTTAAATCTTATACGATAGTTAAGCAACAAAAAATTAACACGTTTGAAAATAATTGTTCTAAAAATATCATGTCAATATGTAGGATAAAGATTGATTTCATAACTCAAAAGGTTTTTTGTAATCATAGACAAAAATTGGAATAATAGGCAAAGTAAAATATGATAAGAAAAAAATGTACCTAATTGACACACTTTTACTATTGTAATTAAATGACAATCATAAATGATATTAACAATCAAAAGCCAGTCATTGTACCTATTATTACTAGAAAAATTATGTCAATACATATAAACGTACTTGTTTTATTGAATTGACTTAAATAGTCAATATGTGAGGATTTAATTTCGATGATGACATAAGATTATTACTAAAAGTTTTAATAGAATAAATACAAAAAGTTTAGTAACACAAAGAATATAAAATACATTCGAATACTTTTTACCATTATTTATATGATAAAATCTTGTAAATGTTCTTAAATTGTTAACTATATCAATGAATAACATTCACGGAGTATGAACTCACGTAGTTATCTCGTTTAATGTTGCTGATTTGAATGCGTATGAAAAGAATTGTTTTCTATTTAATTTTAACAAACGTTTTTTGTCTGATGAACATATACATTCGAAAAAATAATTAACCCTTTAAGTACTAACGGGGCCTATAAGCCCCACTCTTTTAGAATTTGACAAATTCTGAATAAATTACGAATGCGAAACAATATCGAAGTGCACTTGTCATTGTAGCATAGAGGACATGTAGGTGCTTGTATTTATCATTTTAATAATCCTTTAAGTATCAGGGTGCCGTAGGGGGCACGGGTTTTGATCGAAAATGACTCTGAAAGTTTTTTAAAAAGTTTCGATGAAAATATTCACAATATACATGTTACAAATAAAGTCCTAGCAAAGTTTCATCCATTGGCTGAGCGATGGTACTTAAAGGATTAATTATACTCATTTACGATATCAATATAATCACGTAAGACATTATCGATAGCATCATACATTCATCTTGTAGATATTCATTCTCTATCGCAGTAAAGATCCGAAAGAAATTTTATTACTATAGATTGTATTGTACTTTTGTTATAATCAGAGGCGTATTCTATGATGATATGTATAGTAAATTTTCGTATAATTGTTATTCTTTTTATCATACGATTCATTAAGAATTTTGAAAGTTTTATTAAAAAATATATAGATATTTATAAGTTTATTTTTTTTGTCATTGTTTTATACATGTATAGTAAAATTGTTAACACCGGTATTATTATTACTGTCGCTATATGAATAATTTTCATATGCTTGTTGTCTGACTAGATTGTTTTCACCATTAATTTCTTGTCTGGATGTATTATTTCCATTATTTATTTGTTGTTCAACAGGATTGGCTACATTATTATTTGAAGTTCTAGGTGTTTCTTGTATTGTTCCTTCAAGTATTGATTGTACACGTTTACCTGTATAAATTTCTTTTAATTCTCGACGAATTAAACTAGTAATTATTGTTGATATAAGTAAACAAGGTACAATATAAAGTAATGCTGGTTGAGCTGTTTGCATTAAATAAAGTGCAACATATGTAAAAGATAAACCAACAAAATAAGCTATTATTGATTGAAGATAATAAACAGGCCAACGATTACCACTAGCTATATCAAATATTTTACAAAATGTTAATAAAATACCCTAGAAAGAATAAATAACAATTTAAACAAAGAAATAGAAATTCAATAATTTTATTACCGGTAAAATAATATCACCAAAACCAATCATTGACATTCGTACTGTGGTACATGGATCAATTTCTGATTCAGGTATAAATGTCGGTAAAGCAAATAATAGAGGTATTGATTCTCCATTTGTTCCAAGACCTAAAGCAACTTGTTCCATAACAGATGGATTACTTGATATATCTCGAGATGTAGATCGAATATTTGTTGATACATTTGATGGTGCTGCTGTTACTGGCGTTGTAGATGTTGAAGATTTTTGAAATATAGGAATATATGGTGTAATAAAAACAAAAAAAACATCATAAAGAAAAAATAATATTAAGATTATTGTTATCACACGCATGTTGCCGAGTCGATACATTGAAGTTACTGAAATACAAATAGCTGCACCAAGTATATCTTGTAAAACCCATGCCCAATCAGTTAAACGATATATATACCATATAACAACAAGTGTTAATGATATTGACATGGATAGTATTGTAAATAAATTCAATGGACCTAATTTAAATATACATGGTTTACGAAATGCATGTGATGGTGTCTTATAACGACGAAGTAATGGTATTAAATAACTTGCACGATTCAAACATCTTGTTAAACATGTAAATGAACTGATACAAAACATAACTAAAATAAGATAAAAGTCATGAATATACATTTTTTAATAGATCTTTTCATAATATTTGTTTCTTTTCCGTTCAATAAATTATGAAGACTAATGACAGCATACTATATGGGTCATAGTAGCCTAGACGAGAAAATTTTCTTATGTTGGTAGTGTGACATAAAATCTTAAGGTAACATCTAATGTCAAGTCAAAGCGGTTGACATAAAAGTACACATTAATATTTCTATCGCTTTCGATCTCATGAATTTAAAATTATTTTCCGTTTATAGAATAAATTTTGAATTTTTGCTATTAATTATAGATCATTTTATAGTCAATAACAATATTTACCTTGTAACACATAAATCATAACTTGTGGAAAAAAATAAAGTAATAATAGCCAACCAACAGCAAAACATATCATAACTGCTATAAAACAACAAGTCATAGGAATAACCGGCACACCGTTAGCTGTTGGCAAAGTTTCATTTGGTGCTACAGAATTTTGTCTAGTTATCACTTGAACCGGTGTTGTATTTGTTTTTGTATCTATATTTTGTTGAAATTCATCAGCTGCCCAAAAATTACCACCAAGAAAAATACATAAAATTAATAGAAACAGTAATAATATTGCCGGCCGAACTTTATTTGATGTAATAACTGCGTAATCAATTGATAGTTGAATATTATTTGGATTGTTATATCTATTCATCATACTATTGAAATCAGTATCTAAAATAATAAGTACTGGAATTGAAACAGGCATAGTTGTTGTATTATATGTTAATTGAAAAACAGAATCAGTTCGTTTTGTTATAATCATTAATGTTATTTGTTGTCCATATTTTGTTTGAATATTCCATGCATGTTCGGTCATAGTACATTCATGTTCATATAGAATAATCATTGTATTTGATGGAAATGAATTTGGTAAATAATTATTAATATTAGTTATATTACAAGCATCTATATATGTTTCTGATAAATAAGCTGAATACCAACCAAAATTTGTTATATTAACTGTAAGGCCATTAGGTAACACAGCAAGTTTGACACAATAACGATGAATATCAGAGTTTGTAACTGGACGAACAAGTAAATTAACTGCATCATCAGCATTCATATGAACAATATGAGAAAATAATAGAAGAAGAAATACACCTATTTTCGTCATTTTTTTTAATCTAAGTGTAAGAAAAAAATTAACAAAAATATAAAAATGAAAAACTTTTATTTATGTGTTTTTCTCGTTGCTTTTACTTATGTCAATTCCTTTCTTTTTTATTTCTTCGCAACATTTCTCTCACATTACTATTGCCAGCTGTCTCCCCCAAACCGTGTTATGAACGCACTTTGTGTCCGTTCTTTTAAAATTATGTTCTACCATGCATTCTATTCCTATTATTTTTCTTTTCAGACAAAAACAATTATTAACTAAGAGGCATAATAAAACATACGAAGATTAATAATTTGTTGTTATAAATCAAAACAAGACTAAAAATAATACATTCAAAACTCGGACATGTATTTGACAAGGTCTTTTTTTTCTCGTTCTGTTCTTATTTCATTTCATATCGAACAAGAAAAAAGAAACATAGATAGATATGAAATTTTTATTTGACAAACATTTACCAATCTACTTTTATTGTTCATATATACATATTCGAATAGTCTTCTCGTGCCTTTTTCTCATTCCGTATTGTCAACTTTACTACACCCCAAGGTCAACAGAAGAGGATAAAAAAAAAAGAACTGTTTATTTCATTCGTTCATAGAACATATACATATACATATATATATACAGAAGGAGAAAAAAGGTCGAATTTTTAACATGTACTATATTTGACTCACTTCAACTTATTTATACATATACAATGAAGCAGATTTTAATCTTTATGTTTTTATCGATATATACTAATCAAATATCGTCTACATTAAAAGATCCATTTGAATATTTTCAAAAACTTACACGAGATACACAAATTTATCCGCAATGTGATCTTATACCACCATTTAAAACTCAATTGGATTCATCATTTTTTGATAATGATTTAAGACAATGGCAACGAAAAAAAAATCCCCCACCTATACATCGCACACTCGAAGCGTTTGTTCAATTAGATACATTAAGGCAGAGTACTTATTTCAGTCATATTCTTCAAGGCAATAGTCAAGCAAAAGTACCAGGTATATTGAAATGATTTTCAAAAAAAAGAAGAGAAAAAATAAATATTTTTATACAATATCTGTTAAGTGGATCAATAAAGAATCGCAAATTTACATATGTGCACAAGTTATTAGATACACAGTGACAGTTGCGTGAAAATTGAGCTTAAATCAATATTATTTATTTTAAGATAAGAAACCTAATCAGTTTTAGTATAAAAATAGTTTAGATAATTTAAAAAGCTCGTTTTATTGAGTAAAAACATAGAGATTATCAACGGAAATTGATCGTATGTAATAAATGAATCTATAAAATTACTTTCACCTAAGAAGCCATCAGTAACGAATGTTTGAACAAAAGGAAGTAAAAAAAGTTCAATCAATGTCATATAGGATAGTGACAAACACAATTAGAATTAAATAGGTAAAACTGGTTCTCTCAGTTATATCCAGAGTGGCGCGAGTCAGCCAACATGGGGAGGGGTGTAGGATTATCTTCGGTGAAAAACCTAAGCAGATTTGTCGATTTTGTTGAGCAAAAAATAGAAATTTTTGAAGAGATCATTATCTTCCTGAATGATTTAAACGTATCCTAATTAGAATATAACATACGATAGTATTATTAATTGTTGGATTGATAAAATAACTTTAGTCTAGTATGATGAATATTTACTTGAAACAATTCTTTAATTCATGTGCTCAATGAAAAATAATTTTCATTTATACTTAAAACTTTATTTTTCATATTCTAGGAATTCTCTACTTTTATCTTTCTGCTGCTGCACAATTACATACTCTCAAACAATTAAGTCTTATCAATGGAAAATCACTTGATACTGTTCAAACAGTACGTTATGCATTTGATTCAAATGAAGTATTTCGTGTACCATGGTATAAAATCGGTGGTAGTTTTATGAATTTTGAACGACCATTTAGTATCTATGCATTTTCAACTGAATCTCCTCTACATTTATCAATAATTGATTCGGGTGTTGGTTCATTTTCGAAAAATGATTACACATTAAGATTTTTTGAACATTTTAATACTGTTTATAATAATCCACTTAAAACATTTCGTAATTATGATGAATATTTTAATGCATTAATACAAACATGGTCTACACGTACTAGATCTGATCAAGATGATTTAGCTGATTGGGGAAAAGAAACAAAAGAATATAATGATCTTTTACAATACAAAAATTATTTTCCATTACCCTATCGATCCGTACCAAAACCTGATCGAACAGATATGACTGATAAACAATCAGAATTTAATCCTGTTTTTCCATATGCTGATCTTGTTTATGATTATTATCGTGATCCAAATTATTATCGATATGCTCGAGGATGGTTTCTTAATTATACACAAGCGGAATCAAATCAATATATGTATAAATACGAATTTCTTTTATATAAAACAATTGTTTTTTATTTTTTGAAGGTTAAATTATGGGATTTTACCTGATCGTATACAACGAAATGTTCTTTTACCTATGTTTGAACAAAATCGTTGGACTGGACCTTATATATACTGTCCATTAAATTCGAATGAATGGCTCGTTTCGTCTATTCAACCGATATGGGCAACAAATCATTTTAATTATAAAAACTCAATTGCTTTTCAAAATAATCGACGATATAAGTAAGTCATTATTATAAAATTTTACATTAAAAATTAAATCTTTTATTTAAAGTTATGCTGGTGTAACAAATGTAGAACTTGCTTATACACAACTTGATGTTAATCAATGTCCAGGAAATCATCTACGAAATGTATATGCTAATTCAGCTGCATGTGATCGTAATGCTTTTGTAAGCAAGTTTAAAAATTTGAGAGAAATTATTACATTTCTATAATTTATCTTATAGTGTGACCCAATTGCTGGATTTAATTTACAAAGTGGTGGTTATCAATGTTCATGTCATCCAAATTTTCGTTATCCATCAAATGTACGTACACCGTATCGACCTGCATTTGATAAATATTCATCAAAATCTGTACCAATTTGCCAACCAGTTCGTCTTTTAACACAATATCCAACATGGCAAGTTGAACAAACTAAACATTATCAATATCGTCGTTCAGTACCTCGACCAAATCTATTTGAAAAACTTCGTTCATTAATATTCAATCGCCCATCAACATGTCCACCATGGTCACATATTGCGATGTTACCAGTTGAACAAAATGATGATGATAATATACGTTTTGTAAATGATTTAACTCGTCATGTCGATCGTATTGCGCGTCCATTTACATTACAAGCTGTACGACTTGCACATTTATTTTCCAGTTATTTAGCATTGTATCGACCTGATCGTGATCCTGCTAATGATGGTTTTCTTGATCGTCGATCAGATCCACCGTTAACTGAGCAATGGCTTGAATCAGAAATAATGAGTACAGGTTTAGCATATACACAATTATTAGAAGTTGGAATATATTTAAATGGTACGGAATATGAACGACAAAATCCATTTCAACAACGTGGTGAGCCATTAGAAGGGCAAAATGAATTTGGTTATCGAACAAGTGTATTTCAACATATGAATTATGGTTTAGCATTTATTCGTTTTGATAATGATGATGAAAAATATATTTTAAATCGAACATTAGATGGAAGTTACTTAAATGAAGGTGGATGGTATGATAAAGCGTTACAAATGAGAGCTAATATAGAAAAACAACGATATAGTGTATCAATGACTATGCGAAGAGATATACTTGGAACACAATTAATTAAATTACCTACTTTATTATATGATGCACCAACAACTGGTGTTTGGTAAGTTAATCAAATTTATTGTATTTACTTTTATCTAGATGAATTTTATTATCTAGGTTTGGTCCTTATCATGATTGTTCATTTCCTAATCCATCATCGAAAAGTATGGTTCGCTGGCGTTATTCAGTACCAATATTTAAAGAAATTACTCGTTTACCAGTTGGTTTTGTATCCATTGTATTCGGATCTGATCTTCGTTGGTATTCAATAAATCCGTGTGATGATACAATTGGTGTGAATGTTTATAATCCATTTCAAAGTTTACATAAATGTCATCGTGAAACAACTGAATGTCAACAACAAACAATACCTGAAGAAGAAACAGGTTTTGATTTAGCTAGTTATCGATGTGTATGTAAAACTGGTCATGAATATCCATTTGGTTCAATGAAAAATTATTTCGAAGGTGCTATTATTGAACGTGAATATGCTAAAATGTTACGTGGAGAAATAAATGCCTATGAAAATATGCAATGTCGTTCAATTGATCAACAATTAGAACCAAGATATTATATGTCAGATAGTGTTCGAATAAAAAATATGTTCTTAGTTCATTGTTTTTGTTTAAATGTACTTGCGTTTTTTTTCTATATATAACAAATAAATAAATACAATTTTCTAATATTATATAGAAGAATGCTTCGGGGTATATACATTTGCAATTGAATCAATTTTTATAATAGAGAAAAAAGGGTTTAGTTTTTGTTGGTTTGAATACAAATAAACACGATCGGCTCGTTACGGATAAATAATAGACATAGAAAAGGAAAGAGGAACAAAAAGACTATAGTAAGTAATATATTTTTTTCTCGTTCTCATCAAGGCCTTTATAACCAAACAGAAGTACCGAACGAATAGTGAAAAGAAGACAAATTGCAACATACACCGACACTCATAAAAGAAAATATAAGTAACTGCGCTTGCGAGCTAGATTCTTGCGTTCTTTCCTAACTGTCTTGTCATCTGCCGTCATCATCAGGCAGTTAATTTTCCGTCGACGCGAGAACATCATAAAATACAAATGTCTAGATAGATAGATATATACTCTTGTTTTTTGTTTTTCTTTATAGATGGAATCACATTCAACTATTGAAATTGTCCCGTTATCGCCTGAACATCGTCAGGGAATAACTAATTTACTGATGGGTTCATTTTTTTTACAAGAACCATTGAATGCAATGCTTCAATTTGAAATACCACATGAACCAATGGCATGGGTTGATCATATTGTTGATGGATCGATTCGTGATCAATGTTCATTTGTTGCTATTGATACAACAACTCCTTATAAAAATATTGTTGGTGTTATACTTAATGGTATTTCAGATCGTACACAAAAACAAGACGAATTTGTTATTCCATCTGAAAAATTAAATTTTATTTTTTCATTAATTGATAAAGTATCAGATGGTCATGATCTATTTGAATTATATAAAACTGATCGTCTTTTTCATTGTGATGTTATTAATATTGATGAAAACCAACGTGGTCATAATTTAAGTGTTCGTTTAATAACGACTTCTCTTAATAAAGCACGACAATTAGGTATTAAAGGTGCATTTGTTGTTTGTACAAGTTTATTTTCAAGAAAAGCTTTTCTACGTCAAGGTTTCGAAGTTGTTAATGAAATTCTATATTCTGAACATGGAAATGGACGTCTAACTGATATGGGTATACATGATCGATGTACTTTATTAGGAACAAAATTGTGAATATCTATAGTTAAATTCTAAATGAACTGAGCTTACATGAGTTCATATTACTCCTTTTAATATATTTTGTTTTTTTTGAATATTCTATGACATTTTCTTTATGAATAAATGGGCTTATACAAGCTTTACAACTGAAATGAAAATCAGTATTTTAATAGAATTTTTTTTTTCTGTAATCTAAGAAAATTGATTTGTAATGAATTTCGATGAAGTCAATCGATCAAATGCAAGAAAAAGAAAGATTTATAATATCGTTCGGAATATATAATACAAGATACGGTTCATTATATTTATTTGGGAATAGCATAGCCTTCATGTATATAATTATTGTATACGTGTTTGATTAATAGATGTTATTGTGTAGATAACCTTATATGGATAATTTGTTAATATGATTGACGAACAGATAGGAAATTTCATAATGAATATTACGATGACAAAGAATAGATCTGGAACTTCATTGATAAGAATCATTTGCTTATATGTTGCAATAACAAAAAAAAACAATTCTGTTAAAGCCTCTTTCAGGCCTATTAAGCACTAAAGATGAATAACTACAGATATGTATTCATCGGGAGATTTGATAACAAAAAAATATTATTTTTTCGAAATTATTAAAGTTTCTTAAAAAATTATGAGAGCAAAAAAATAAAAACTTTCGCGATTAATATTCTAGCGTTTCTATACAATCCTTTAAACTGACATCGAGCGGCCTCTGTAATACATATAAAATACAATAGTCTAAGAGGTTTTTATGTTCTTCAAATGGCAAATATCTATTTTACAATAATAAGTATGTGGTTTGATGTTTTTTCTATTAAATTTTCGTTAATTTATAGATTTCTCTCAATATCAGTATCATGTCATCTTCACCTATTTTTACAGCTCTATCAGATCTGACTAGTAATCGAAACTTAGATAATTATGATCCTCATCTTTGTAAAGATATTCATATTAAACTCGATCAAGAAGCACGCGAACAAGGTTTAAGTTATGAAGAACGTTTCGACATGGTATAAAAATATTAACCAGAACTTTATTTTATATATCTTTGTGAATGATTTCATTTTAGGCTAAAAAAAATTTGACAGTTTTCGATAAATGGTCATCAATATTTCCAGTTGGTATATCTCAATGTCTCAAAGAATATTGGAAAGAACGTGTAAGTTCAGCTCCACTTGATCCACGTTTTCCAAATGTAAATCAAACAAAGTAAACTAACGAAAAAAAAAAATATTTTTTTTTGTATTTTTCAAATCAAATTTTTAGACGTTGCTGGATAAATTATGTTGATTATCATCGATGTATGGAACAGAAAAATGATGAGAAAATTTGTGGATATTTTAAACATCTGTATAAAGATTTTTGTCCAGAAGAATGGGTCAATAAATGGGATGATCAAGTAGAACGTGAAGTATTTCCGGGTATTCATGATTAAAGATACTGTTTAATTTTAATCTCTTTTTTTGTTCGCTATTCTATTTTCGTGTTTCATTATATTGTTAAAGAAAAATTTCTTTGCTTTCATAGTTATTAAAATTCGTTTATTTATAGATAAATAAACATGAGTAGTAGTAAAGCTTTAGCTGCTATTCAAACAATGAAAATTATTTATGGTTCACAAGGAAGACAAAATATTCTTCCTTATCATTATCTTGGGTAAATAAGATACATATATACATATGTAGATTTTAACCTTTTTTATTTTAAGTATGGTCTACCGTACACCATGGCGTTTTTGGTATTCAAATTCACAAGTATTTCGATGGTTTTCACGTATCATGGCTGTAGCTTTTGCATCAACACTCTATTTACCATTACGTGGCGTTGATTTATCTTATACACCTTATACAATTGTTCATCATCAACTTGATCATAAATTTGGTGATTGGATTGAAGAAATGCGTTATCCAGTTGATCAAAAACGTGTTGATGAATACAAAAAAGCACATGGACTTCAATAAATTTTCGTTTTTCTTCTCCCGGTCATAGATCAACATTCTATCGAGCTTTCTTTTTTTCTTAGCTATTCTCTTTGTGCTTGTCTTTACATGATGTTAAACTATTTATACATAGAATAAAAATAAAGCTTACCTTAATTATTTTCTTCATAATTATCAAGTGAAATAAAGTATATACGAATCTAATTGATTATGAAAAGAACTTTTGTACATTTGAATCATAAGGGAAAAAACGCCGTACATCTACAAAGCATGTTTACTCAAGAATTATATGAAAAATTTAATCTTCAATGATAGTTTAATCAAATAGAAGGATTTTTGTTTTCTATTAAAAAAATTTGAACAATGAAAATCAATTTGAAATATCGAATTATTGTATTTTTCTTAGAACTCGAATCATTGTTAGTTATTTTTATATCACTCATCACAATCAATTCTGTTCTTTTTCATCTTTTCTTCCTGATTCAATCTTTATCATGATAAACTGATCGTATCTACTAATTGTGATCTTAACTGATAAATCACAAGAAATAAGAATACGTAATAGTTAACATTTTCGATAAAACAGAAACTTATTAAGTCGAGAAAAACACATACATATCTATAAGTACACTTAAATAATGTGATGATATAAGAGCTTGTTTGATTGACACTTACAATCTATTCATCAATGAAGAATATAGAAGTACTATCCAAAAAAAAAAAGAACTTGTTCACCGTACTATAAGAAGGAATTAACAATAAGCTTTCAGTTTTTATGAAGTATAGTATTATTGTGAACACTTTTTCAAACTTAACAATAGATGCTTGTGAAGTATATTTCTTCTTTCTTTTTTAATTTAGTTTTTTAAATATAGACAAAATTAGGATATTTTATAGCAGTTGCTTTTTTTCTCATATGATCAATTGAGAATTCAGTTCAAGATATTCTAAACAAGTCGAGCTTTTTTTTTTGTTCACACACATACACTCAACGAAAATTGCTTCTTTTTTTCTTCGACAGACATTAATAAAAGCTTGTCGTGCACACGACTAATTAAAAAACTTTGCCACCGTCCGTCCGTTTCTTGTTCCATAATAATAGTATTGTATATGTCTACTCTCTCTCTCTTCTCTATACGTTCACGCGCGTATTCTCTCTCCGGAAAGAGAGAATATGCCATACATATATATATATTAAGAGAGAAACATTTCTCTCTGTGCAAATGAACACATCTCATTGAAAAGAGAGAGAGACAGAGAGAAGAGAAGAGTCAAGCAGGGATTAGAGAGACACAGAGAGAGAGAGAAAGAACTCATCATTGGTAGAAAGAGAGAACTCATTTTCTGTTGTTATTGCTGTATATGTATGTCTCTTCTGCCAAAAATCAAAAAGGAATTAAATCACTTTTATTTTTCTTCATAAAGCAGTAGCGCATATCTTTCATATGTAAGTTATATGTCAATAAAAGCATGAAATTTTTTTTTTATTATTTCTTTTGTAAATTGACATCTATACATTCATTATTTATTTTAGGATATAAAATTATTGTATATTGAAATCAAAAAAATAACGCAATGTTCTTCATTAAATTTCTTTTTTCTTTCGTATTTATTTGTTCAATATGTTCAGCAAATCGTTGGTATCGTATGTTTAATTCCAATTATGATGATCCATGTATTGATCGTCATAAACGTTTTCAACGTTGTATACCTGATTTTATCAATGCAGCCTATCAAAAACCAATCTATGTTTCCCCAACATGTGGAAATTCACCGAAAGAATTTTGTAATCTATCACAATTAAATCAAAATCATCCTAATGATTATTTAACTGATATTAATAATCCAAATAATTTAACTTGTTGGCAATCAGATTTAATAAAACAAGGAGAAAATGTTTCATTAATATTATCATTAAAGAAAAAATTTGAATTAACATATATTAGTTTACAATTTTGTTCACAAAGTAAACCTGATTCAATGGGAATTTATAAGAGTATGGATATGGTATGTGTATATATGTACAAAATAATAAATATGATGCATTCTTTTTTCTTTGTCAAGGGTTTAACATGGATACCATTGCAATATTATTCAAATAATTGTGAAGATATTTTTAATAAAAGTTCTCAAGGAATTATAACTCGTTCAAATGAACAAGAAGCTTTATGTATTGATACAAAATCTCAATTATCATCTATGAGTGAATCACGTATTGCATTTAGTACACTTGAAGGACGTCCATCAGCATATGAATTTGATTCAAGTCCTGTTCTACAAGATTGGGTAACTGCAACAGATATTAAAATTGTTCTATTATCACCACATATTGATATGAATTCTTATTCTGTTGCTGATTTTGCTGTTGGTGGAAGATGTAAATGTAATGGACATGCATCAAAATGTATTCCAAATAGGTAATGAATGAAATTATTTGATATATCAAATAATTCTTTTTCTAAACAAACTTTGATATTGATTTTAATATATGCAATGACCGAGAGTGAACTATTGTCATATGCAAATCGAGTCAAGAACATGTCTCATGACTGGACAATTGTTCGATTACATGATGTATATACATAGTTTTGTACGTGACATTGTCTGTCAATCAGCTGACAGACATAGATTTCGACTGGAGATTATTCATCTTTCATCGATCGATTGAAAAAATATTTTCGACGAACAAGAAAAGAATAGATTTTGAAATGCCGACATTATATTGTATAATAGAATGAAACATGAGAAAATATCCTTGAGTAGCAACTTATTGTTATTCTTTTTTATATATATTTTAAGAAAAGAAATTATATTCCGCCAGATGAATCAATTCTCTCTTTTTTTTTTCTTATAATTTAATCGATTGACCGTGAATAGCGGCAGTAGAAATGAAAATGTGTGAGTAAGATAATATGATTGACATAAATAAAAAAGAAAGAAGGAGAGACGCCGCATTGATATATATGTATATATATTCAATTAGACATGTCTAGGAAATATAGAAACAAATTTTTATGATGTGATTGTAGTTAAGTTATAAAAAACGCATCTTCTTTTTTCACACAAATTCATTCATTGTTATTGTGTACTCGATTTGGTTCATCCGTATTCATCACATCTGTATATGTGTGAGCCAAAAGGTGATAAGGAATAATGATGCATCATAACAAAAGCAAAGAAAGAAAAAGAATCATTCATCTCTTCTGCATAACGTTTGCTCAAACAAATGAGATTTGTTCATCACTACATACATACATAGACAAATGTCACATGCATACATATAGATAGATATATACAGAGACAGAAGCCGACGTTTTTGTTGTATTTATTTAGGTTAGTAGCTCAAATAAATAGAGCAAATAGATCTATCTATCTTACAATATAAGGGATATCGTCAAGTGACCTTGTTTGTGTTGATTATGAACTGTAGAAATACATGGGCTATTTTAGATGTCGACAGGGAATGTTAATGATGATGTAACATTGATATATTGAAAAGTAGAGAGTGGACAAGTGTCAATTGAATATTCAATGAGAAATTGAATAAAAAAAAGGTGTGTGATGATCGATCGATATGATTGTCATTTCTACTTTTTTTTCCTTCTCTTTCTTCCATAAATGATCAGCGAAGATCGATTGTTTCCATTGTTAATGATTTTGTCGTTGACAAAAGGAAAGATAAAACGGAAGTTGACAAACTATGTTTTCATATAAATAAGAACGTTCTTTTTAATTCTCATGCTTTCATATTTCTAATGATCAGTCACTTGACAAATCAGATTTGACATTTAAACTGATCATATTCCCGTTCACATAGATCACTTGAAATTTTATTTTAATTCAATTCTTTAAAAGGCGTCTTAAATATGTAAACGCTAGAGGGTGTTGATAATATGTGTCTATAATAATCCCTAAAAACATTTATTTTCTTGTTCTATAGTGATGGTCGTTCAGTATGTGATTGTAAACATAATACGGCAGGCGATGAATGTGAACGATGTAAAGACTTTCATTATGATCGACCATGGGCTCGTGCAACACAACGTGATGCAAATGAATGTGTTGGTAAGATGTTGTTTTAAATCTTTTCTTTTATCTTCTCAAGATTTTTTTTTTGTAAAATTACATATATATATATCATAAGGTTTGATTATGTATTCTAAACTAAGAACATCTATTCTATGCTCTAACACGTTGTGAAGTAAGAGCACATATACGTGTCAAAGGTTAATTCTAGTTTGTAATTGCAATAAACATTCGACAAAATGTCGTTTTAATTTGGAACTATACAAAATAAGTGGACATAAATCTGGTGGTGTTTGTCTTGATTGTCAACATAATACAGCTGGTCGATCATGTCATTATTGTCGAGAAGGTTTTACACGTGATTTAACTCAATCAATGACTAGTATAAATGCTTGTCGAGGTAGTACGAATAGTACAAAAATGATTGTTGTCTTCATCGTTAATATATGCACATAAATACACATACATACATACATACATCACAGAAGGAAAAAGAACGCAGATAAAAAAAATAACTTTTTTATTTGAATTTGAAGTTTTTTTTGTCCCTCGTCGTTAGACTTAGAACATTTTATATATATATTTTACAGCATGCAATTGTAACAATCATTCTCGACAATGTCGTTTCAATAAAGAACTCTATCTTTTATCGGGTCGAAAATCAGGTGGAATTTGTATTCAATGCAAACATAATACAGTTGGACGATATTGTAGTTATTGCAAAGAAACATTTTATCGTGATCCAAATTTACCAATAACACATCCAGAAATTTGTAAAGGTAATCAATGAGAAAATAGGGGGCTCACGCATGAATCAATTAATCATCTTTGCTTGGACCTTCTCTTTATTACATTAGTTTTGCTTCTTTTTCCGGTCTGTGAATGTGTGTTACTCACTTCCACTGCACTCTAACCTTGCATGTATTTTTAGCATTGTTGTATGTGTCGTTTTAATATATAGATATGTGTGTGTGTGTGTATTGCTCATTAGTGTTAAGTATAGAATGATAGCATATATCCTGCCTATTGTTTAGAGAAGTATGTGTCGGTAAACGGAAATATATATATAAATATATTTATATAGAAAGGAAACTATTGATAGTCTTTTCATGATAGAGAAAGAAGGCAACACCGATCATTCTTCAAGGTTAGCCGGAAATTTAGTTCTTTTGATATGTCCAGACTCAGCATCAACAATGATAATTGTTAAACAATATCTTCTATCTTCACGTTTTTTTTCTTGTCTTGATTAACTCACCAGCGATTAACCAAACAGACAGAATATATATTATGCTATGTCTATCTTATAACAAGATAAATAAATATAATATAATATCTATTAGTCCTATTTCTACATAATTATCTTACAACTAATAGCTTTGTCACACACACATACATATATATACATATGCTTAATATGAAAATCAATAAATAACAAGAATAAATTGATTTTATTCGGGTGTTTTGTTTTTCAGCATGTAATTGTCATCCGGTGGGTTCGCGAGGTAAAGTTTGCAATCAAACAAGTGGACAATGTCCATGTAAAGATGGTGTATCTGGTTTAAGATGTGATCGTTGTCTAAAAGGTTATCAACAAACGAAATCACCTATTGCACCATGTATAAGTAAGTGTGAAGAAAAATCTTTGTTTTCGTCTTATTGATTTTAATCTCCTATTAGAAAAACTTAAACTTCAATCATATAATATTTATAATGAAAATGATAATACGAACAGTTATCATGAACAAGATGATGAAGATGTATACACTTCAGCAATGACAACAACAACCACTACCACCACCGCTCTCATAACAACAGCAAATCAACCAGGAATAACAGAATATAATCCATCGATCGATATGGGACAATATTGTGGTGCATGTCGATATTATAGTCGTCGTTTACATGTTAAAAAATATTGTAAACGAGATTACAGTAAGTTCAAAAGAAAAAAATGTAAAGAAGAAAATCAAATCTACTTTATTCTTTTAGCTATTCATGCACGTGTAACTAATCGACATGATGCTGGTCAATGGGTATCTTATTTATTAACAATTGTTCGAGTCTATAAAGATCGTCTTAATCGTATTCAAGAAAGTGAACAGTGGGTATGGGTATCACGTAAAGATGTTCAATGTTCATGTCCACGTTTAAAACTTGATAAACAATATTTATTAATGGGTTTTTATGATCAAATGCAAACATCATTAAGTCTTGATCGTACATCAGTTGTAATTGAATGGAGACCACGTATGGAACAACGTATGAATCGTTTTCGAAGATATGAATTAAATAAAAAATGTTAACGAAGAAAAAAATATTCAAAATCAAAAAAAGTCAAATAAAAGAATATCATTCCGTAAAACATCGAACAAATAAATAAAGTTTTTGTATATTAGTCGTGTGCGTGTGTGTGTATTGTTGTCATTTTTTTTTAATTGTTAATTGTGTCAGTAAAAATTTAGCATTATGATAAAAGAAAAAGTCATTTTCATTTGATTGTATAATACTATTTCTAAATTATTCAACGGTATATGAACGTTTGCAGACTGTTGTCATCAAATCTGCATTAGCCAGATGAAATATATATATATCTTAATTAATTGAGCAAAACTTTGTTTATTATTTTGATAAATAAGGACAATTAAATATATGATATAAACAACAAAAAAAGAAAAAGCTCATTCTATGATTGCCATAGGGTGACGATCATGTCCACTTAAAAGGAATAATCGATGGTATAAATCCTCATCATATAAAATGACCACTAATGCAAAACGGAAGTAAAGTTGAAGAGTATAAGTGCCGCTTATAATTGATGATAGAGAAAAAGAATCAATTTACAGATGTCCATTGAAACATAGACGATGTTTGACACCAGTAATTTGTATAAATTTAATGCTTGGTCAGATATAAAAACTAATTGTTGAACCTTGTTTCTCAGCTATGAGATGATGAATTAGATTGAAATATAAAGAAATAAATGTATGTTGGACATAGTCTATTTAAATTAAACAGCATGATAAAGGAATATTACACTATGTCATAATAATTTTTCTTTTACATGACATTAAGCAATAGCTTATTGATTAGATTCATTATAGAAATATAAGTGGACAAATTAAATTTTTTTTGTTTTATTTTACTAATTAGTTGAAATAAAATGCGCTATTCACACATTATTTTTTGACAATTTATAATCCTATTGCTAAAGGTGTTTGTATATACGAAAAAAAAGGTGATGAATTGAATGTGTTAGAATAATATGTAAATTTGAGAATGATGATAACAATTTTATTATCAGAAGAATCAAATAAACATCTGATAAGGTTCTCACAACGACGTATATGGTTTAATAGAGAAAGTTAAAAGATTTATTATTCGTGCGAGAAAAAGAAACTAGGTTGATGACGATTCAATATTTAATAGTTGTTGTTTTGAGTTTTGTTGTTGTTTATGGAACAGAATGGCCAGTTCCATATGAACGTGTAACAAGTCGTCCGACTAATAATCCATATTGTCAAGCAGGTCTTATTTCGTTTTGTCCAAATGGTAAAGCTGAAGATGCAATGATTTATGCACAAGATGAAACGGATACAATTGAAATATTTGCACTTAAAAAACCTGTATGGTCATTTAAATTCGGAGACTTAATGGCTAAATTTGTGAGTTTAGGATTTTCTTTTAAATAAAAAACTTTAATTGTTTTGTATAGAAAGTTATGCATGATGGATTAGGTTTTCGTAGTCAAAAAACAGGTCGTAATTGGACAATGGAATGGTAAATAATATTTTAATGAAAAGAAAGCAAATTAAGCTATATATTTTTGTTCTCATATAGGTATGAATTAGATCAGTTATTCAATTGTACATTTCCTCATGTACTTAAAAATGATACATTCATATGGTGTGATCAAGGTAAATAAAAATATTATTAACTAATAATTCTAGAATATTTCCATTATTAAAGGTGCTTTATGTGTTTATGAGGGAATTGTTGATTCAATGTGGAATGGTTCGTCAGATTTAAGCATGTTAAAAAAAGTTGCTCAAATGAATGGTTTGCTTGTTTTTCTTTTTATTAATTTTATATTCAAATAATTCTTTTAATAGGCAAAGATTATAATACATGGGCAACATGGGCTGTAAGTGATAATAATACTGGTATTTATTATGAAACATGGACAGTATATTCAGATCCTGGTACGTATTGACTGAAATGTTCTTTCAAGGACAGATATAGTTCGGAGACAAAATGTCATTTCAGTTCAACAACTTGTAATTTGACAGTCTAGTCAATGATAGAATATCATTGTAACCATTTGATTAGATCTTTTTTTTCTTATTTCGTACAGCGCATATGACAAAGAACACACTGACGTCATTTCAACCTGAAGGTTTGCTCTTGATGAGAATTTATGACCTTTTTTTATACACGAAAATGTTTAGGTAGAAAGTTCTTAGATCTTATCTAAAAATATGCGTATTTATAGAATGATTCACTCTTGGTTGAGAGTTTGGATAGAATTCAAATGATATCTTCATCAACAGACTTTCAAATTGAAATGACGTCATTTTGTTTCGTTTTTATGATATACATCGTACTAGATCAAACAGTTAACAGAATGATTATAATCTAGATTTTGTCTATCTATAATAAACATCAATCGATGGCACAAGTCACTTCTCAATAGAATAGCTTCTCCTGTGAGTTCATGTCTAGGTATAATTTCAATGTCGATTAGAGCAATATGAGAAAAGACAACAAGACATATTTTTATATTGATGTTTTTTTTCTCGGAAAGTAATTAATAAGTAATTGAAATTATACTCTAGTATTTAGTCATGGACATTAAAAAAGTCGATTTCTTATCTAGCAAATAGATACACATAGCGTCTGTTGTATTCATGAATAGAGTTCCCAAGTACTTTGGTACAAATGGATTCAAAAAGAAAAAAAGAAAAAAAGTGTATATCTACCGTAATGCGCAGCATATTTTCTGATTCATTCAAAAACCGAAATTAATAATAATTTATTTATTTTTTAAGGTCCTAATGCCACAATGTATTTTGATTCGTATGATTGTGCTAGTTTTGTTATTCGTGGATTGAATGAATTGTATCATTATGGTGCTCAAATATTACCCAATGTTCATTTAAATTATACACGTTTAAATATCTATTCATATGAACCCGTCTTACTTGGTACATATGATCAAATAGTTCATAATCAAACTCTTTATAATGATTTTATTGATTTTTATCGTGAATTTGATTCAAAAAAACCCAATACAGAAGAATGGTTTAAAGCATTCGTAGAAATTTATGAAACATTTTATTTATCAAAACGCTTCTATTTTTATTACAATAATGTTTATTGGTATTTAAAATTAAAAGATACAACACCACTTAAAATTTCATTTGATGAAGTTCCAATCAGTTCTATTTTAAAACTAAACTAATTTAATAATAAAAATAAAAAAAAAACTATTATCACTACATCATAAATGTTTATCTTTTGATTAATTTACAATTCTTTTAGTTGTTAATTTATTTGATTAGAAAATCGAAAAAGATACATATCATTTTATCAAAAAAAAAACGCAAAATATTATTTAAAACTATATTTATAATGATTCATTATTTGTCATAGTATAATATAATCGTAATATTTTTCTCACGTCGACTATTTGTCATGCTTGATTTGGTTGTGTATATTTATTTTTTTCTTTTCATGGTCTTGTTTCAAAGCAAAATACGACTCTATATCATCATTAACATATACATTAAATAAACGTACGCTAACATTTATTTGATCTAACCTTCAACGTTCCTTTTTGCTTTTTTGTATATATTTTTGTTGTACTATTCATTTTGTTTATAATACGAATTAAATATTATGTATAATCAAGAATATGATCCGTCGGATATTGAATCACTCTCATCAGGAACATCAAATACATCAGTTATGACATCTCGTGCAACAACAATACCAAATTCATGGAGTGCAACAACTCTACAACAAAAATTACAACAACTAGCACAATTTAATATTCATCCGCTCGATGATGATCAATCATCTGATTCGACAGATGCAACTGTACAGTTTATTACTTCGATGAATAAAAGTCTTGATACAACAAGGTCTAATAGTAATCAATTAAATGGAGTTAGTACTCAAAATCAACAACAACAACCATGGGTCAATCCATATTGGGGTCCAAAGTTGAGTGCAAGCGTTACAGTAAATCAACCAGAAATAAATCCAACGAATAAGAATGGCGCTCCTCAAAAGTAGGAACTTTTCTTTTATTAGTAACTACTAGGATTTTCTTTTTTTTTATTTGAAAGTTCTTTATCATCTGATCATCTTGATCAAATGATTCCTGGTTCTATTCTAATCAATGATGAAGGTGAAGTTCATGATTTATCATGGAAACAAGATGGACAGCTTAGGCAAAGTACATCTAGTACATCATTTAATCCTGGTGGACAGTATGTATCAGATGAAAGTGGTGGTGCTGGCGGTTATCTTGCACCTACACATATTCAACGTCGGCCTATAATAACATCACCATCTGGACAAACGACACATTCGGATAATAGCAGACCTAATTCTTCAACTAGTGTGAATAATGGTGTTCGATCGCCATTGAAAGAAAAACAAAATTTCCCAGGAACAACAACAATTAATAATGATAATAACCAACCATGGGTGAATCCATATTGGCCAAAATCAAATCAAAATAATCCTGAATATCCACAAAATGGTAATCCACAACCATCAAATAATTCAAAACGAAATTCCGAAACTAAATCACCATTAAATACGAAGACCACTGAAAAATCGGCACCATCGACTGCAACTCGTCAAAATCCATATGTGAATGGTAACGGTTCATTGAAACAGAAGAAAGATAATACTGAATTAAATAATTCGTTCGTATCTCCTCGTAAAGCTCCACCAATTCCATCATTTTATGAGCGTATTTATCCTCCGCCAACACGAGTATCATCACCTGCCGTATCGACGAATAAAAAACATGAAAGAATATATTCTAATGGGAAATCTAACGTAAATATAAACGATGATAATGATTTGCCGTATACAGTCGATAATAATGGTGTAGTACACTATCGAGCAACATCTACTACACCAAATATTACAAAAAAGTCAGCAACAACTTCTCAATATCCGGTTTATCCTTCACATAAATCTAATTCACCGAAACCTAAAACGTCATCATTTTCACAAACAACAAATTCTGCAAATCCATCTGTTTTAAATCATGTTACATCGAATACATTTGCAAATATAGGAAATCATTATTCAAGTTCACGTTCTAACTCTATTACTATTCTTACCGAAACTGATCTAAATAGTATTCATGAAGCACTTCATTTACTTGAAACTAATCCAAATGCTATACCTCTTTACGATCCATCTAAACATATGCCAACAACAAATATCAATCACCACAGTCATCCTTTATCATCCATATCTTCTCTATTTACTTCTAAACCACAACAACAACAACAACATAGTAATCCTTTGTCATCCATTTCTCATCTATTTAATTCTAATCCACAACAGCAGCAGCAGCAACAACAACACAGTAATCCTTTATCATCCATTTCTCATCTATTTACTTCTAAACCACAACAGCAGCAGCAGCAACAACAACAACACAGTAATCCTTTGTCATCCATGTCTCATCTGTTTTCTTCTAAACCACAACAGCACCACCACCAACAACAACAACAAGCAGCATTTTCACGGAATGTACAATACAATTCTCAACAAGCACCATTATTCTCTACACCAAGTTATCCTTCAAATTCGAATCAATCTTTACATCGTTTCAACACACTAGGATCTGCTACCCTTATTTGAAATAAATATTTTTTTATAAAATGTAGTTAAAAAAAAGTGTTTTTTTTTGTACATGAACTTCGATATTTATTATATAAACATGCATACTAAAATTATTTACTGTGACTTCATTTATTTATGAAATCTATCTATTATTTAGAGATCTGTTTATTATCCCATATAGATGCTATTTTTCAAGGACAATACATGTTTATTGTTATAATAAGCTACTAGTTAAATGATTCATACTATGATTAAGTGACAAACACAAAAGGGGGATTGGCCCCCTTGAAAAATACAAATACCTGGAGAGGAGAACGGGTTTATCAAACGTTGCAAGCCGAAAAACAGTTTTT